CCTGGGTCGGCCGCGTGCAAGGCAAACGCCCTGCCCGCTGTGCTGTTGCTCCAGCCCACAAAGATTGTGTTTTTAAAGAGCACAGCAAACCCTGTAAACCTCAGCACAGGGAGGAAAGCATAGGGGGCTTTTAGGGGGCTTTGCCTTCCTGTCCCGGTGAATTCCCAAGTCATTCAGCTGCCAAGAGTTGGGCCCACCTTCGTACCTGATCACTTTTACCCACCACCAAGACCAGCCGTCCGGCTGCTTCTTTCTAATGTCCAGGCACAGCGACTGCCCCCTCACACCAGGCGAGACCCCAGGGGCCCCATCAAGGGCAGAGACGCTGGGGTTTGGCCCCTGGGGAAGTTCCTGTGTGCGCTCAGGGTTTTCTCGGGCTGCCCTGTTGCTGCGGAACATCTCAGGGCACTCCCTGCTCCCTCTCCTGGCCCCCCCTCCCCAAACAGCTAAAAGGAAGACACATGGGTCCCTGAAGGGCAGCGATGACCGCCAACCTTCCTTTGCGTGGCCCATGTGGCCCATCCCTTGCAACCTTTACAACATCCAGAGCACCGGGCGGGGCATCCCTGGAGTTCTGCTGCAGGGAACTGTTTGTCCCGACTGGGCGCCCTTCTACAGAAGAAAACAAGAGATGCCTTAGTGTGCATTGGCCCAGCCTGGGGAGTTTCCGGTACGGGCACCTGCGTCTTGCTCCCGCTCTGTGTGACAGAGAATTGTAGCACTGGCATCCGATCTCTCCCAGCTTCTGCAATGATGGGGTTTTTCCAGCTCTGGGCCACTCTGGGCTGTTCTCTGCCTCTGGACAGAGATCCCTTGTTACTGCCCGTTTCGGCCCCCAGACACCAACTCAGAGGGCTCAACACCAGTGAGGGATTTCTCTTTTAATACACCAAAAGTACGGCAAGAAATGAAAATATAGACTTTCAAATTAGGGTGATTGGCACACCTGCTGGCTGCCAACCTAAATTTGCTTGGGGGCCACACCCAGTAGTGCTCAGAGCTTACTCATGGTTCTGGGTTCAGGGACCACTCATAGGGGTACTCTGCGTAACCCTCTGTGGTGCCAGAAATGGAGTCATTGTCAGTGGCATGCAGGGCGAGAGCCTCAACCCCAGTTCTGTTTCTCTGACCTAACCCCGAGCTTTTTGTTTTGTTTTGTGGCTTTTTTTTTGAGTCACACCTGGCGATGCACAGGGGTTCCTCCTGGCTCTGCACTCAGGAGTTACTCCTGGTGGTGCTCAGGGGACCATATGGGATGCTGGGAATCGAACCCGGGCTGGCCATGTGCAAGGCAAACGCCCTCCCCGCTGTGCTATTGCTCCAGCCCCACCCCGAGCTTTCTTTAATTCCTCTTTGCGTTTGGTGTTCATGTTGAGTCGAGGCATCACCCCACACGCCTTTCTCCTCCTTATCAGTGGTAACGCTTTGTAAAACTTTCTAGTCCGGAAGAAATAAGCACCCTCTCACTTTGCGGGGGGGGGGGGAGGGGGGGATGTAAAAAAAAAAAAGCAACCGAGGTGAAAAATAATTTTCAGAGACTTCCCAGAGTGGCTATATTCGTACCAGATTCTCCAGCCCCGATTCACAACCTGGGAGAAGAAGAAGGCGTGTGATGGGGCAGTGATGTCCATGGGAGCCAGGATGTGACTGCCCCACATTCGGAGGGACCGAATGAAGCACCATTTTGGACACACTGGGCAGTGGACGCTGAGTGAAGGAAGGCAGAGGCCCCTGTTGTCCGATTCTGTTTTTTGTGAAACATCTTTTCTAAGGACATTCTTAGAGAGGGACCACAGGTTGCCTGGAGCCGCAGGGGGGCGTCAAGGAAGTGACCGTGACTGGGTCTAGGATGATGGAAATGGAACTGCAGGGGCCAGAGAGACCACACAGCAGGGAGGGCGCTTGCCTTGCGTGCAGTCAACCCAGGTTCTATCCCTGACATCCCATACGGTTCCCCAAGCAGCGCCAGAGTAACCCTTGAGTGCAGAACCAGGAATAACCCCCAAGCACTGCTAGGTGTGGCCCCAAACCCAAAAAGAAATCAATGACGGCACAGATGGCCGCGTCTCAAGACTATACCGAAGCCCTCTGTCCTCTCTCCGGCTCGTGACTCGTGTCTCAGGAAAGACTTTTATGAACCCAGTTTCTCGTTTCTGCCACAGCTCATCAGCACAGCTTGGCCACATAGCAGGCCGCAGGCCCGCAAGCCTGTCTGGGACGGCTGCCATCCCCACGGCTCCATTTCTCCCACTTGGCCATTTCCAGGACGTCACAGAGACGGACCATACAGGTCTTTGAGTATGTTTGGGGGCAGCTCTTTGCTTGCATCCTCCCTCTCGGCCACTCATTCTACATCTCTGTGAGAACCCGGGTACCGTGGAGTGGGAGTCTCAGAGGGAGGGACCCGCTGGCCCGGCGCACTGGCCCCTGGACGGCACTGCCCGCCTCTGGCTGGAACTAGCAGACGAAGCTGTGAAGGCCGGTCAGTGTCTGGGTTCTGCGTAAGCTCCCGCCCCAGGGAGAGGCAACAGGTGTGCAGGGTGTGTGTGTGTGGTGGGGGGTGGGGGTGGCGGGTGTGTTGTGACAGCCCGTGGCTGGAGGAAGTCCTTTCCCATGTCACTGACAGTGTCAAACACCTACTTAGTCACCTTTTTGGTGGTAGTGGTGGAGGGGTTCGGTTTGGGTTGGGGGCCGCCCAGAGCTCTTCCCTGCGGGGAATGTCTGATCCCGTGGTGCGGAGGACCCAACCCGGGGCCTTGTGTTGGCCACACTCCGGCCCTTTGAGTTCCCTGCCCCGCCTGTTGCCGTCTCTAATATTTTCAGGCCAACACCTGCTTGTGTGTGCTTGTGTGTGCTGTCCATGTTCTCACCCCGTTTTCCTTTGAAACAGTCTGTGCGGGTTCCGGGCGCGGGCCCTGCCCATCAGTGTCTGTGGCCTCTTGGCAGGCTCCCCACGCCAGGGCAGACTTTCTCAGTCCATTAAGTTATAACTTATTCATTTTCCCTTTAGAAACCATCTCTTGGCTTAACAATAAAGCCAGTGTTTCTCCTTTTTTTCTTCCCCCAAACATTTCGTTGTTTCCCTGTTATTTTACATGGGGGGAGTGGAGCAAGATAGTTTCATTTCAAGAGATTTGCTTAATGTGAGGGGAGCAGGAGAGACTCGTATTTAAAAGAGAATTACGGGCTTCTCCAGTGGGAAACACGGAGAGTCCATCAAGAGGGAGTCATTACTTCACATTTTATTTTTTTATTGGTTTGAGGGTCACAGCTGGCAATGCTCGAGGCGCCTCCCAACGTGGTATGGGGGAGGCCACTCCTGGGGGTCTTCCAGGGATCGGACCTGAGACCTGTTTGCAGGGTCCGTGCTCAGCCCAGGAGCTGCCTCTCGGCCTCCCGCTGTATTCTCTGTCTGTGATCCAGTTTGGACCCGGATTTGTGTTTGGGTTTGGTTTGGGATTTTGCCTAGTCATGGCTGCTCCATGGTTGTTTCCGCCTTTGCCAGACTTGGCCTGGCACCGCTCCTGGCTCTGTTTCTGGTTTGGGACTTTTTTGTTTGTTTTTGTTTTGGGTTTTGTTAGGGGTTATTTTTTTTGGGGGGGGGGGTCGTGGTCCATACCTGGTGATGCTCAGGAGTTACTCTTCCTGGCTCTGCACTCAGGAATTACTCCTGGAGGTGCTTGGGGAACCACATGGGATGCCAAGAGTGGAACCCGGGTCAGCCACCTGCAAGGCGAGCGTTTGACCTGCTGTACGTGCCACCCTCCAGCCCCACGGGTTGTTGGCTCCTAGGCCCAGAGTCTACCCCTACCCACCCCGCTCGGCCTGATTTCCGGTGCTCCTCGGCATGTGCTCCACTCCTCCCCCTTCATTTTCCTTCTCCAAGGTTGTTTCAGCGCTCTGGGGGCTGAATGGACCAGACCCTCCGCCCCCGGAGCCCATCCGCACCTTTGCGCTCCAGAGTGAGTTTGTCTTGGCTGTGGAAAACCTTGTCGGGATTCCAGTGGGGATCCCACGACACAGAGACCCTGGCTTGCGGGAGCGGGGCCCTCTTCACTCTGCTGGCGGAGGATCGGGACCCCGGGGAGTGCCCCCTTGATTTTGGCCATCTTGCCTGCATTTCTCCTTTCGGCAGGTGTCTCTCCCAGCTTGTCTTCCACGCCTACCTCGTGTTGAGTTGTCACTGCAGCAACTGAGGATGCTGTTGTTGTAAATCTCGGCCACGTATTCATGACTCGCACGTGGAAACCAGATCGCTTTTTGCGCCTTGGTCTGGAGCCCTGAGCCCTCACTGAGCTCCCGGGTTCTGGTTCTGAGTTTTGTCTCGGGCAGATTTCCTCGGGCCTTTCTCTCGGCCACGCTCGCCGTGTGCAGACAGGGACGGGATGGCCTCCTGCGTCCCGGGCGTGCCCCGTTCTTTTTCTTGCCTTATTGCTGTGGCTGAAACCCGGGACGGGGAGCGAGCAGAAGCCGGGGCCTCGCTCGAGCTCAGCGGGGGAAGGTTCTTGCTCTCCTCGGGGCCTGACGCGCAGCCCTTCTGTCCACCAGATGTCCTACTCAAACCCTTTCATCTCCTGGGGGCTGGCGCCTCCGAGTGCCCCCACCCGCACCCGTCCGAAGGCGGAGCTTACGGCTCGAGAGATTGGCTGCCCGAGATGATGGGGCAGAAAAGAAGCCCCCGGCATTCCGGCCGGTCCTCCCCAGCCCTAGGTCAGCCCGGAGAGCGGGACCCGAGTTCCCCCGCCGCCCGCCGGGGCCGCGCCAGCCGCCGCGCGCGCTCGGCGCCCCCGCCCCCGCGCCCCTGCCCATCCCGCGCGCCCGGGCCGAGAGCGGCGCCGTCGCGGCCTCCCGGCCGGCCCCGGGGCCCCCGATGGCCAGGGCCGGGCCCCGAGCCGGGCGGGCTCCCGGCGGCGCCCCCCGCGCGGCCCCGCCAGGCTCCGCCCCCCGCGGCGCCGCGCCCGCCCCGCGCGCACGCTGACCGCTGTCCTCCTGCTCCTCAGGCGGCGCTGGCGGCCCCGGGACCCGCGCGAGCCGGCATGCTGGAGAAGCTGGACTCGGAGGAAGGTGAGTCGCGGCCCTTTGTCCTCCCGGGGCGTGGCCCGCCCGCGGGGGAGGGTCCCGGGGCGCCCCCGGCCGCGCGCGCCCACCTGCCGCCCCGGCCCGCGCCGGCCGGCCGCGCGCCCCCGCCCGGGCGCCTCCTCCTCCTCCTCCTCCTCCCGGCCGGGCCGGGGTCGCGCGAGCCCCGGGAGAAAGTTTCGGGGCTCGGCAGGGGGAGGGGCCGAGGACGCCGGTGGCCGCGGGCAGGGGGGGCCCGTTATTCGTGCGGGGACTTCTCCTGCCGCGGAGGATGGGGAAAGCCGCGGGCACACGTGTACCATGTGCGCACCGGGCCCGGTGCCACCTCTAATCCCTCTGCTCGATTGCAGGCAGCGCCCGGCCAGCCGGAGAATGGCAGCCCAGAGAGAGAGAGATGGGGGGGGGGGGGAAGAGAGAGAGAGAGAGAGAGAGGTGGGAAGAGAGAGGGAGAGATAGGGAGAGAGACAGAGAGGGAGGGAGGGAGGGGGGAGGGAGAGGGAGACAGAGACAGAGACACACAGAGTGGAGAAGAGACAGAGGGAGGGAGAGAGAGACAGAGAGGGAGGGCAGCTCTGCTGGGAGATAATGCTTGCATTAACGACCCCCCAAAAGTCTGCGCCCCCTCCCTCTTCACAAGCCCTGACTTGATACCTTTCAGAACGTCGCTGGGACTTCACTGCAGTTCATGCAGCTGGACCCGGGTTCTGTGTCCTGCACGGGATCCGTGGCACTGTCCTGGCCACAAGTCACATTTTGCCTCCGTTTGGAGGGCCGGTGTGGTGTGATGGCCCTTTCCAAGAAGACTTTGAATATCCGCAGCGGGGTGCCGGGGACCCAGGGGTCTCCGATCGATGCCCCTTCACCCCCAGTGTCCATCGCGTTTAAACTTTGCAGAGTCACTGGGCACAGACGCCAGAGAGAGACGCGGGCCCAGCCTGGGCTCAGCGCCGCTGCTGTGTGACCCTGAGGAGTCACTTGACCTCTCTGTGCCTTCCTTCCCCAGGGTCTGAGCGGGCGCTCGTCTCAGTGTCTGGGGGATCCTACTAGATGATCCCTCTGCGGTGGGTGTCTCAGAGAAATCCCCCAGGAAGCTGTCCGCCCGAGCGGTGCAGCGAGGTCCTGGCGTTTGGGAGGCCTTGCTTTGCATGCTAACATTGGGAATGTTTTCCACACAGCGCGAGGGCGTGGCTTCTCACTGGAGTTATTAACTTCATGACGTTGCATTTCTCCAAGCAGACACACAAGTGGTTTGGGGGTTGGGTTTTTGCTCCCCCCCACCCCCCGCATTGTTTCTGCCATTGGGATGCGTGTCAGGATATTGAGCTAGACATCTAAAAAAGGGAATTTCCCGTTTCACCCATCTATTTTTATCGGGAGTGCAGCCCTTGCTTTCGAGCTTACCGATCCCACAAATAACCCTGTCAAACTCTTGGAGGAGGCATAACGTTCATAAAGCCCGTGGAGGCCGTTGGCTGAGCTGGCGTGTCGGGGCGGCGGCAGCGGCGGCGGCTCCCTGGTCGTCCCGGGCTCTCGGTCGCTTTCTCATCCCAAATAGGGAGAAACTGCGCCAGCCCGTGGAATCCTCCATGGGGGGGGGGGGGGGCGCGTCCCCCCTCCCCAGGCCGCCGCAGCTCGTTCTCCTCCTGCTCCCGGGCAGGGTGTCCATTCTGCCGGGCCCCTCCTGGACACAGGGTAATGTGGGGGCGCTCAGTTTTGTCACCAAGTAGCTTTGTGTCTCTGAGTAAGTCAGGCCCCGCGCGAGTCTGTCGGGAGCAAGCACCAGAAGTGAGGCCTCGAGCGAGCCAAGGGGCAGAGCGGGCGGCGGGGGCCTGTCTGCCCACTGACCCCTGCCCACCACCTCCCCCGCCTGAGTTGTGGGGCATCTACGTCTCCAGACCCACGTGTCCCCCCGGGCCCACGTGTGACCATGGGCTTACCTGGTGCCCCCCACAAAGTCTCTGTCTTCCCATGCTACACTGTGTCCCCCCGTGGTCTCCGGGTGCCCCCTGCAACCTCTCCACCCCCCCCAGCAGATGCTTCAGCCCCCCTCGCCCACCCCCGCTCTGGTGGGTGCAGGCGGGACCCCGGTGCTATCACTCCTGGGGACACGTTGGGTTCATGGGGGCAGGCAGGGTGGAGGACCCTCATGTCAAGGCTGTTTTTGCTCTCAGGACAGTCCACTTAGCACAAGCCACAGGTCTGTGCTGCCCAGTACCAAGCCCAGCACCTCAAAGCCCTGGGTGCTGTGTGCTAGTTAACATAGGGGCAGCCCCAGCTTTGTCGCGTGGTTGGGCGGGCCCCGGGGTGTGGGGTGGGGAGGGGACATCACCCGGGCTGGTCCTGCGTGCTGCCCTGTCTCTGGGTGCCGGGTCCCCCACGCCGGGTGCTGGGCCCGCCTCTGCCACTGCCCCGTTGCTGAGGCCAGGCCTGGCAGGCGGGTGCTCTTGAATTCTCAAGCTGTGGGTTTAACCCCCACCACCCCTGCCCACTCTGCTGCAGGACGGTGCCACCTCCCACGCATGGCTCTCTCGGCATCAGGACACTGTGATATGCCCCCTCCTTTTAGTGGCATGTCCCGCCATGCAGCCTGCCCGTCCCTGTCACCAGGTCATGCTGTCTGTCCCCTCACCTTCCCCTGCCAGGCCTTTTGCCAAGGGTCTTCTCATCTCCACTCCTCACGGTTGCAAAACAAGAACAGGAGGCCCGTGTGCGCTGGGGTTCCCGCCAGCATGCCCTTCAGAGGCACGGGGGAGATGAGCTGTAGTTCGCGGTTATCTGCTGAGAGCTATTGTGGTTGGGGTATCTGTGGTCAGGACGGTACTGTAGCCAGGGATATCCGAGGTTAGGGTATTTGTGGTTAGGGTATCCATGGTTAAGGTACTCGTGGTTAGGGTATCCATGGTTAGGGTATCCGTGGTTGGGGGCATCAGTGGTTAGGATATCTGTGATTGGGAGTATCCATGGTTAGGGTGTTTGTGGTGGTGGTTGGGGGTATTGATGATTTGGGTATCTGTGGTTAGAGTATCCATGGTTGGGGATATCAGTGAGTTAGGGTGCCCGTGGTTAGGGTATCCGTGGTTGGGGGTATCAGTGGTTAGGGTATCCATGGGTGGGGGTATCAGGGTTTGGGGGTATTTGTTGTTGGAGGTATCAGTGGTTGGGAATATCTGTGTTTGAGGTCTTTATGGTCTGGGGTATTCATGGTCAGGAGTATCTGTGGTCAGGGGTGTCCTATGGTCAGGAGTATCCATGGTCGGGGGGGGGGGTTGCTGTTGGGAGCGTTCGTGGTTGCCGTTGTTCGTGATTGGAGGTATCTGTTGTTGGGGGGTCTCTGTGGTCAGGGGTATCTGTGGACACCAGTGCTGTGTTTGGCCATGCTGTGATTGTGTCGTGTGGTTGGGGGGTCTCTGTGGACAGAGGTGCCGTGGATGGTATACTGTGGTTGGGAGTATCTGTGATCGGGGTGCTGTGATTAGGGGTGAACTGTGGTCGGGGTATTTGTGATCAGGGGTGTCTGTGATCAGGGGTGCTGTGTCTAGGGGTGTCTGTGATCAGGGGTATGCGTGGTTGGGGTTGTACAGTGGTTGGGGTATCTGTGACCAGGGTTGCTGTGGGTGGGGGTACTGTGGTTGGGGATATTTGTGGTCAGGGATGCTGTGGTTAGAACTTGAGGTACTCTGATGGGGGGTTTGGTGGTCAGGGATGTACTCTAGTTGGAGTATACAGTGGTCGGGGTGTACAGTGGTCCAGGTATTTGGGTTAGGATCCTGTAGGGGGGTCTCTGTGGTTGAGGGTCTCTGTAGTTGGGATGCAGTGGCTGGGGGTTCTCTGGTTGGGAGCCTCAGATTGGGGTCTCTGCGATTGGGGTATAGTGGTTGGGGGTCTCTGTGGTGGGTGGTCCCTGTGGTTGGGGGTGCAGTGGTTGAGGGTCTCTGTGGTCAGGGGTACAGTGGTCAGGGGTGCTGTGCTCAGGGTGCTGTGTTCAGGGGTCTCTATATCAGGGGTTCTGTGGTGGGGGGTCTCTATGGTCAGGGATGCAGTGATCAGAGGTGCTGTGGTCAGGGGTCTCTGATCAAGGGTGCTGTGGTCGGGGGTCTCTGTGGTCGGGGTGCTGTGGTGGGGGTGTTCGTGGTCAGGGTGCTGTGGTGGGGGATGTCTGTGGTTGGGGTGCTGTGGTGGGGTCTCCATGGTTGGGGTCCTGTGGTGGGGGTCTTCGTGGTCGGGGTGCTGTGGTGGGGTCTCTGTAACGGTGCTGTGGTGGGGGTCTCTGGTGTGGCTCCCTCACTAGGGTGGCAGTTCCGCCACTTCAGCAGTGTGGCCCAGTGCCACAGTCCCTTATCTGTTACATGCCCTTGCTTCGGGCAGTCGTGTCCCCGTGAGAGGGACCTGGTGTTTGAGGGATGCACACACCTGAGCTGTGACCTGCTGTGTCTGTGCCCGGGCCACGCGGGCACACGCAGCCTCACTGAGAGGCCCTGGCGGGTGTCCAGCCTGGCCATGCTGTAGCAGCCGTGCCATGCTGTAGGGGCAGTGCCCCCTGGTGGGCATCCCCTCGTGGCAGCTGAGCCTTGCCTGGTGGGGGTAGGCGTGAGGGCGGGGCTGACTGCCTCGAGGGGTCTTAGCACCAGCTCCTCTTGGTCCATGGTGGGATTTCCACCCACCCCACCCCACCTCCTTGTTCTTCTTGATGACTGAGGCAGTCCGGGGCCCGCAGGGTGACCCTGGCCCCTTCCCAAAGACCTTGTGCGTGAAACTGCAGGGGCTTCAGTCAGGATAGAACCTCAGATTCAGGCTGGCTGGAAGCGAGCTGCACGCCACTGCCCTGAGGAGGTGCTGCGGGACCCGGAGCCCCAGGGTCCCGTCTCTGGTCCTTGGGTGCTCTGGCCGCCCAGGAAGAGGCTGAGCCGCACCCCACAGGCCGGGGGCTGGCAAGGGCCCCGGGTGACGGACAACTCAGGGGCACCCTCAGCTGTGCGCGGGGTCTGGGGGCCAGGCGGGGGCACATCACCACAATGCAGGCCGCATTTGCTTGGAAGGGGAGAGTTTTCTAGAACTTTCCATCTTCTCTCATCACCTTTGGTGATGCACGCCCAGTCCCAGTCCAGCCAGACACGTCCAACTCTGCAGCGCCGGGAGCAGCCAGAAGTCCCCCATGCCAGAGTTCTGCCTGGGGCCCCCGTCATGTTTCAGAACTGGGGGGCAGCTTTCCATCCCTGCCAGACGCCTGAGTCCAGTCCCCGGGCCCCGGCTGGCTCTCACTGGTCTGTGGCTTTGGGGGACTGTGGGGCGTGTGGCCCCAGACAGTATTGCCTGGAGCAGCCAGCCTGACCTGCCCCCCAGCCAGCTCGAGGCATCCTGTAGTGGCCGCCCTGGGCAGTCCTGGGGTGTGTGTGCCCAGGACACGGGCCTCGTGTCCCCTTGGCCACTGGTCGCACTTAAGCTCAGTGTTTTGTTTGTTTTCTTTTTTGGGTCACACCTGGCAATGCACAGGAGTTACTCCTGGCTCTGTGCTCAGGAATTACTCCTGGTGGTGCTCGGGGGACCATACGGGATGCCGGGGATAGAACCCGGGTCGGCCGTGTGCAAGACGCCCTGCCCGCTGTACTATCGCTCCAGCCCGTTTTGGTTTTTGAGCCAAGCTCAGGCTCACTCCTGGCTCTGCACTCAGGGATCACTCCTGGCAGGCTCAGGGGTCCATACGGGGGGCCGGGGATGTCGGGGACCAAATCCGGGCCGGCTGCATGCCAGCAAAGGCCCAACCTGCCTTGCTGCCTCTCTGACACTTTATGGATTCTTTTTTTTTTTTTTTTTTTTGCTGTTTGGGTCACACCCGGCGATGCTCGGGGTTACTCCTGGCTCTGCACTCAGGAATTGCTCCTGGCGGTGCTCAGGGGACCATATGGGGTGCTGGGAATCGAACCTGTGTTGGCCATGTTGGCTGTGTGCAAGGCAAACTCTCTACCCGCTGTGCTATCGCTCCAGCCCCACGGATTCTTTTGAAGCAAGTCTGGTACCCCTCTCCCTGCCTCTCTCCCTCTCCTTCAGTTTTTTGTTTTGTTTTGTTTGGGGGCCATACCGGGCAGTGCTCCTGGCCGTGCGCTCAGGAATTATCCTGATGGGTTCCGGGGACCATGTGGGTGCCGGGGAGCGAACCCCGGTGAGCCGCGTCCAGGCTAATGCTCTCCTCGCTGTACTGTTGCTCCAGCCCCTAATCTCCTCCCTCTCCGCTCTGCTCCCCTCGTTCTCCTTCCCTCTCCCTTCTCTTCCCCTCCCTTTCTCTTGGCTGTACTTGGGGGATATTGTTTGGTGCCCGGCTCAGACCAGGGTTAGCTCGATGCGTGGGTAGGCAAGGACCTCGCCCCTGGCCCTTGGGAGAAATCTTTCATGAAATCTGGGGTGGTTTTGTTTTAAGATCTGTCATTGGGGCCCAAGAAATAGCACAGCAGGCGGGGCACTTTGCCTTGCATGCCGCCGACCTAGATTCAACCCCCACACCCCAGATGGTCCCCTGAGCCTGGCAGGACTGATCCCTGAGCACAGAGTCGGGAGTACTCCCTGAGCACTTGCAGGGGCAGCGAAGAAAACTAAATTAATGGAGTTTGTCCTCGGCCTGGGAGAGCGGTCGAGGCTGCGTGTGGGAGGCTCATGCCAGCGCCTCGGGGTTCCCCAGTCCTGCCAGGTGTGGCCCAGAAACAAACAGAAATCTGCCTTTCACGGTATAAGCTCCAGTTATGAAGTAACTCAGTCCCGGTCCTGACAGACAGCGCAGTTAATAAAGTCAGTATTGAGTGATGTGCTTGGGAGCGGGTCACGTGTCGGATCGTGGCGGAGAGAGAGTCTGTAGGCCGAGGGGCCTCAGGTACCACGACTCGCTCGCCCGGTGCTCAGTGTGTGCCCAGCGTCCTGTGCCCTGGAGCCTCATGTGCTGAGTGCACCCCTGACCCTGGGGCAGCAGGCAGCGGGCACCGTCACACCTCTTTGTCAGGCAGACGGGATCAGGCGAGCCAGTGCCTTGCATGTAAGGCCCCGAGTTCCGTCCCCAGTGTCACTCATGCCTCCAGGGCAGGGACAGCGAGATTCAAGGCTGCTCGCAAGGCTCCCCAAGGGGGTGACCAGAGAGACCCCTAGAGGGTGACCGGAGGGGCCAGAGCAATAGGACAGCGGGTAGGGCATTTGCCTTGCATGCAGCTGACCCAGGTTCGATTCCCAGCAACCCATATGGTCCCCTGAGCACCGCCAGGAGTATTGCCTGAGTGTAGAGCCAGGAGGAACCCTGAGCACCGCTGAGAGCAACCCTAAAAGCACAAAAATAGAGAGAGAGGGTGACCAGAGGGAAGAATTAGAGTGTCCAGAGGGGAGGGGTTGGTCTCATGCTCAGGTGGACTGGGGGCTGGTTCTGGTTACACGCACCAAGATCGTTTTTCTCTATTTGGATTAGTGGGTTTCAGCCCCCACCTCAGACCCCCCCAAGCCCGTTTCTCATCTTCCCTATACCTACGGGGGCGGCCGCAGCCCTGCCTTGATCACGATCACGACCATCCTGTTGTTCGTCGATTGCCTCGAGCAGGCCCCAGTAACGTCTCCTTCGTCCTAGCCCTGAGATTTTTTAAAATGTGCCATACTCAAGGCTCTTTCAGAGTTAGGAGAATGAGACCCACCATTGTTCCTGGTATTTGGCATATTGGGTACGCCACGGGGAGTTTGCCAGACTCTGCTGCGTGGGCAGGTTACATTCGGTAGCCTGCCAGTTTGTTGTAAACCAGGGATCCGATCCTGCTGGGGTCCACATGGGGTGAGCAGGCCGAGGCCTGCTGAGAGCTGAGAGCCGTGGGAGGAGTCGGGGGCCCCCTGCAGCCGCACTGCTGACCTTTGCCCTCCTGCCTCCCCCCCCCGCCCCCCCCCCCTGCAGCAGAAGAGTCGGAGAGCGGCGTCTACATGCGCTTCATGAGGTCCCACCGGTGCTATGACATCGTGCCCACTAGTTCCAAGCTCGTCGTCTTCGACACGACTTTACAGGTGGGTTCACCCCGTTCCGCGCTTGGGGGGGGCCGGGAAGGAAGGGAGCTGGGGGCAGGGGGGGGCATCTGGGCCATCGTGCGGAGGACGAAGGCTCAGAGCCCGCAGTTCCCGCCGAGGTCTTTGCTGCTTGGGGTCTGCGGTATGCAGAGGGGGAGGCAGGGAAGGGGAAAATGCCCCCATGGCCGAGAGTCTTCAAGGGCGAACGTCACTGATCTCCAGGTAGAAACTCTCTGAGCTCAGTCGTCCTGGCATTTACATCGCACTCACTTGACGGAGCCGTAAAATATTCAAGGCAGCGGCCACTGAGCCCAAATGACAGTGTCGACAGCAGGACGGCGGCAGGGGACTCGGGAAGGGGCCACTGGGGCGCCCCTGTGGCAGCGTGGCCAAGCTCAGGAGCTTAATTCAAAAATAAAAACAATTGGGGGCTGGAGCTATAGCACAGCGGGGAGGGCGTTTGCCTCGCACGCGGCCGACCCGGGTTCGATTCCCAGCATCCCATGTGGTCCCCCGAGCACCGCCAGGAGTAATTCCTGAGTGCATGAGCCAGGAGAAACCCCTGTGCATTGCCGGATGTGACCCAAAAAGCAAAATAAATAAATGAATTTTTTAAAATAACTGTCCCACTGTCACTGCTAGATTGATGAGTTAGGCAACATGACAGCAGCAAAGCGCAGGGAGAGACAGGCCACCAGAGAGATCAGGGTCCTTGGACCCAGAAGAGTCATATCTCCCTTCTTCTCCCTGGATGTCCTCCGAGATTGACCCCAGGCTGGGTCACGAAACATGTCCCCGTAAGACCAAGAAGACAGAAATCACATCAGCTCTCTTGTCAGATGACGAGGCTTTGAAAATGAGAATTGATGAAAACAGAAATGGGGGGGATGCTTGGAAATGAAATAAAACAAAAATATTTTTTGAGCTTAAAAGAATATAGTGAGGGGGCTGGAGCGATAGCACATTGGGTAGGGCGTTTGCTTTGCACGCGGCCAACCCGGGTTCGATTCCCAGCATCCCATAGGATCCCCTGAACACTGCCAGGAGTAACTCCTGAGTGCAGAGCCAGGAGTAACCTGTGAGCATTGGCGGGTGTGACCCAAAAAGCAAAGTAAAATATATAGTGAGCTGCTGAAAGAGAGAGAAAGAAAAGAGAGAAGAAAGGGAGGAGAAAAGGAGGAAGAAAGTAGCAGGAGAAAAAGAAATGATGGAAAGCCACAGAACGGGAGGGCTGGTGCGCAGGATTGAGGGTGCCTGGGGTCAGGGTCTGGGGACAGTTGGGGACAGATGTGTTGTTGAAGTACTTTGCATGGAGCTGTCGTTAATGGTCTTGTAAATCAGGTCAGTTCAGTAAAAAATGGGGGGTGGTACCTACCTCCATCCTGGCATCTGCTGAACCATCAAAAAGTCCGTCTTCCTGTCACTAACCGGACCACATGTGAGAAGTCTCCGTGTGAGGTTGGCTTGGCTGGGGACATGGCTCCCAGGTCCCTCTGGGACACGTGCAGGGGGAATTCGACTCCTGCCTTTCTCCCTTTCCCGGGGACATCACGTCGGCCAGACTCCATGGAGAAGGATCTCCAGAAAGAAACAAGAAGAACAGAAGTGTTGGAAGTCATTTGTCCGAGTCGGCCCAGGTCGGCACGGCTTTCCGTGTGACCTGACAGCGTTCCGCTCGCGTGAATGAACTGGGCCACTTTCAGCCGCTCTGACTGTTTCTCAGGGTCCTGGGTAAGGTCTGGCTGAACGTCCGGTTGACGCGTGTACCCTCTCTCTCCCCTGTCCCCAGGTTAAAAAGGCCTTCTTCGCCTTGGTAGCCAACGGCGTCCGGGCTGCACCCCTCTGGGAGAGCAAAAAACAAAGCTTTGTAGGTAAGCCACGTGGGCTCCGGGCAAAATCGGGAACAGAGGACAGAAAAGTTGAGAATCCAGGGTGTCTGAGCCAGTGCAGGCATGGGGACTTGGCCCCCAGGGAAGGAGGGTCCCGGCCTCGTGCTCTTCCCAACGCCCTCAGCTTGGATTATGCAGGCTGGGTGTGGCCTTTGCCAGGCCCACGGATCATAGGGGAGGCGACAGGGGGATGTGCCGGGACCGTTTCTGAACAATACTCACGGCCCGTGAATACACCTGGGGCTGCCCTGCCCTCGGCGGATGCCCCGTCTGCCTGGACAGGTGGACAGTACCAATGTGGCTGACTCCGTTGTGGCACTCTGAGCCCAGCTTCAGCTCTCGAGATGGTCCAGACACCCAGTCTCTCATCGTGCCAGGCAGACGGTGGATAGCATCTCTCTCTCTCCGGTTCCACACCCCTCCCCAGGGAGAGGTGGCATCTCTGCATCTTGGACACACCGGGTGTCTGGGTGGCCGGTAGTAGGTTCAGAAACGGTGACCGCTAAAAGCCTCCTTGGGGAGCAATAGCAATAGCACAGCGGCTAGGGGGTTTGCCTTGCATGTGACTGACCCGGGTTCGATTCCCAGCATCCCATAGGGTCCCCCAAGCACCGCCAGGAATGATTCCTGAGTGCAGAGCCAGGAGTAACCCCTGTGCATTACCAGGTGTGACCCAAAAAGCAAAAAAAAAAAAAAGTCTCATTGGTAGAACGGGTAACGGGTGTTGAGAAAATAATCCTTGTGCCTCAGAGGTATCGTTTCTGGAGCTTCTGGAATGTGCTAGAAAAAAGGGGGGCTTCCCAAAAGGGCTCCAGTTCCACATGGTCCCCTTACTCCACTCACTGGTAGTGACCACAGCAGCAAACTGGGAATGACCCCACGCAGCACAGTGTGTGACCCCCCCACAAGGAACAGGGATCGGTCTGGAGTGGGGCGAGAGCAGGAAGGTGCTTACCTTTGACCCCCGGCCCCGACATGTTCCCCGAGACCCGCCAGAGGGATCCTCGAGTACGGAGCCAGGCTCAGCCCTGAGCACCGCCAGGTGTGGCCCAACCAAAGGCTAAAGTATTGGCAGTTCCTTCCTGTCGCCTCAAGACGTCAGTGATGTTGGGGCTGGAGCAATAGCACAGCGGGGAGGGCGTTTGCCTTGCACGCAGCAGACCCAGGTTCGAGTCCCAGAATCCCATATGGTCCCCCAAGCACCGCCAGGAGAGATCCCTGAGTGCATGAACCAGGAGTAACTCCTGGGCATCGCCGGGTGTGACCCCCCAAAAAAAAGACTTCAGTGATGTCTCACGACCCCTGGGCTTTTGCTCTGATATGTTGCCTTGCGCTGAGCATCAGCCTGGCCAGCTGGCATCAGCAGGTGCAAGGTCGGGGTGTGGCTCGCGGCAGGGCACTTGCTAGGTATGTGCAGTCCAGGGCTTCAGTCTCCTGAGGAAAACGGGTGGAAGCGATGGCCGCAGGGGCTGACCGATAATGCCTGCAGCCGTGCCTGGCACTGTTCAACGCCGTCGTGGTGCTTCTCTTGCAAATATTTCATTTGCTTGTCACGGAAAGTTTATATTCCGTGGTTTTACCTTTAATGTATGAAATTCTTTGTTGCAGGAATGCTAACGATTACAGATTTCATAAATATACTACATAGATACTATAAATCTCCCATGGTAAGTGTGGGGGCAGGAGCTGTGTGTGGACGGGGCTGTGGGGGGCGCATTTCTGGGGGCATTTCTGGGTGTTAGTATCTTTCTCTCTTCTGTTCTGGGTGGGTGGACAGTGACGCGTGCTCCCACTCCTAGAATGTTCTAGAAGCCTCAGCACAGAGCAGGTCCCAGGTCCACATGACCCCATGGTTGTGGTCCCTGCAGAGACGAGAAGGGGAGGTGGGGGGCAGGTGTGGGTGAAGGTGCTTGGAGGGGTGGGCAGTTGGGGGGCGACCTCCCCCAGGGCACGCGCCCTATTTATATGAGCATAAACATCCTCTGTGGTTTAAAGAAAGCAAAAGCCCCTGTGGGAAAGAGCCTCGCGCAGACGCGGCCACCTCAGGACACTGCGCTCTGGCCCTGCCACCAAAACAACAAGCAGAAATAAAGAAGTCAACATGGAAATGGACAGAGTCCAGTTGTCGTTTTTTGGGGTTTTTTTGCCAGTTAAAGGAAGACTGACCACTCCACGATGCCCTCCTGCTGGCCTCACGGCGTGGCATATCCCCACTCATCCCTAACCATGGGGAGTGACGTGCGCCTAGTCCGTGTCACGGGACGTGTGTGTCCACCCCAGCCATGTGGCATGGCAGGTCTCCACTCTGGACCACGAAACGTGGCATGTCCCTTCCTCCAGCCCTGGCGGGGGGACACTTCACACTCCCCGCCACGTGGCGTGGCCCCTGCTCCCAACCACCTGACGGGATATGGTCCGCTCCTTCCAGCATGTCCCCACCCCCTGCCACCTGACGGGACCTGTGCCCACCTCTCAGCCAGGTGCCCTGGCCTGCCCCACTTCTGGCGTGGAGCCACACGCTCCTTGCTGCCTCTGTGACCTGTGGCCTGGGAACCACGTGGACTTTTCTCCCACGCGCAGCCGAGATGGTTCTCACGGCTGGTTTGCTTTGGTTGTGCTGTTTTGTTTCTTTTTTTTAAGTTTTTTTTTTCTTTTTTTTTGGGGGGGGGGTCACACCCAGCAATGCACAGGGGTTACTCCTGGCTCTGCACTCAGGAATCACGCCTGGCTGTGCTCAGGGGACCATATGGGATACTGGGAATTGAACCCGGGCTGGCTGCGTGCAAGGCAGATGCCCTACCCGCTGTGCTATTGCTCCAGTCCCTGGTTGTGCTGTTTGAGGAGCGAGTTTTTCTCTGTTTGGTTTTTCAGAGGTGGAGAAGGGCCGGAAATGAAGAGTCACTGGGGCTGGTTGGGGTATCTCAGAAGTCAAAGGGTCTCCTCAGTTCTTCCCCGTGCTGGTTAATATTGCTTAGTGAATTCCTATGCAGGGGCCAGAGAGATAGTGTAGTGGGCAGGGCTCTGGCCCTGCAGGCAGTCATCTGTGGTTAGATTCCCAGGACCACCAGGAGTGACCCCTGAGCACAGAGCCAGGAGTAAGTTGTGAGCATGGCCAGGTGTGAGCCAAACCCTCCCCGCATAAAACATTCCTGTACAGATGTAGAAAACAGTTTCTTCGTAAAACACGATCTCAAGGGGCTGGAGAGATAGTACAGTGGGGAGGGCGTTTGCCTTGCACACGGCCGACCCGGGTTCGATTCCCAGCATCCCATATGGACCCCTGAGCACCGCCAGGAGTAATTCCTGAGTGCTGAGCCAGGTGTACCCCCTGTGCATTGCTGGGTGTGACCCAAAAAGCAAAAAAAAAAAAAACGATCTCAGAGGCACTTGGCTGGAGGCTGTGAAAGCGCTCCCCACTGTTTGGGCATGACAGGGCCAACACTGCCGCCCCGCAGTGCCAGGGGACAGGCTGGCCCAGCTCGCCCTGCTCACAGCTCTGCTCTCAGACTCGCATCGTCAGCACGGCAGAGGCCGCTGAGCGGACAGAGTGTTCTGAAGCCTGCTAGACCCACTCACAACCTCCGCAGTAGCCAAAAAGACTTGAAATATTAAAGAGCAGCTGCCGTCCAAGTGCATACACAGTGTATTCCTTCGTACTGAAGGATCCATTTTCCCTCTCCCCCTTCACCTCATTTTCTGTGGGTGAACCGGAAAATGCTACTGTGAAACTTAAGGCTTATTTCAGTTTCCAAATATGCATCCTTAGCTGTGCTCTGCCGTGCTCTGTGTGTGTGTGTGTGTGTGTGTGTGTGTGTGTCTGTGCGCGCGCGCGTATCTGTGCACGTGTGTGGAAATTATTCAGCCAGCCTCACACATACATGGCACGTGCTCTGCCCAAAGCCACCCCCACCCTATTGGCATCGAAAGGCCTCCTTGAGGGCTGTGGGGGTCCCACGCTGGCTGGAGCACACACTTTGCACGCCGCACGACTCCCCCAAGGCACCACCTGAGGGGCCCTGAGCGCCACGCGTGTGGTCGCGGTTCAACCTGGATGATTTTTGCAGGTGGGCCTTTCATCCCAACTGATTTACCGATTAGAGCTAGAGAGACGAGCCCCAGGCTCTGCACACGGGAGGCCTGTGTTTTGTCCCGGGCATCCCACGTTCCCCTGAGCACCGCTGGGAGTGGCCCCAGAGCACTGCGGGTACAACCCGGAAAGAAACAAACAGGAGATGCGCTCAGGGGTCCCAGCGCCTGATGGTGTGTCCACCCAGGTGTTTTCTGCCCATCTCTGTGTGTGCGGTGAGGACACTGATCATGTGACACCCGGTCCCGCCCTGCCCCCTGTTCCCTGGCTCTGTCCTCAGGCTGGGCGACAGCCCTGGGCCAAGGTGTGGAGGGCCCGAGTCAGCGTGGGCGTCTTTCACAGCAGCTGGGGGCCGGGGGTCCCAGTCCAGGCCCCGCTCCATTCGGGGTTCGCCATCTCTGCGCAGTGACCCCCCCACCCTCCGGCCCATGCTGAAGGCCTGAGACCCACTGACGGTCCCCGCAGGGGGCGGGGTGCCCAAGCTTGTGCTCCCGATGTCCCGTATTGGGAGTCCCATGTGCCCGCGGTGCCGGCAGTGCTGTTCCAAGCCCGATGCCCGCAGACCCTTGCCGCCGCCTGTGTCTCTGCAGGAGAGTGTGTGACGCCAGCGCCACTGCTCCTGGCGCTGCCAGGCTGGGGCCCTGGTGCAGATGACCTGAGTCGGCCCCCAGGTGGCCAGAGCAGAGTGCCGGGAATCCAGAACATTCACTAGAAATAAGAAGTGAAGAGTTGGAACCGAGAGACGGGACGTGGGGAAGGTGTTTGCCTTGCATGCAGCCACCCAGGTCTGTCCAGCACCATGTAGGGTCCCCCAGTCCCTGCCACAGAGATCCCTGAGGACAGCCAGGTACGGCCCCCAAACGGAGAAATAAAGGCCAGAGCAAGAGAGTGGGGAGAGCGCTTGCCTTGCATGTGGCCGACCTGGATTCAATCCCCGACATCCCATAGGGTCCCCTGAGTCCCTCCAGAGTGACCTCTGAGCCCAGAGCCGGGAGTCAGCCCTGAGCACCACCAGGTGTGACCCCGAAACAAAAAGAAGTGAGGGTTCAAAGGAAAAGCTGGGTAGGGTTGTCGCCCATCGGCTGGGCTCCTGCAGCGTAAGACGAGCCGTGGTCAGCCCCTGGCAGAGGACAGCTCGCATGTGCTGTCGCCACGGGGCCCTTGCTGGCTCCTGGCACCCTCAGCCCCGGCTCCAGCCCCTGCCGCCCTCATGTTCTCCCGGGGTGCCCTGCCCCGTCTCCACGGAGGGACGCCCTGACGCTCTGGTCTGCTGCGTCTGGGTCCGTTCCCAGGCCCCGGGCTCTGCTGCTCTGTAGGGTCGGAGGGTCCCTGAGTCCTCCCCTTCCCCACTCCGGGCTTCAGAGGGACTGTGGGGGGTGGCAACCCCCAGCAGCGTCTCCCGGGTCCAGTGTGGCAGGCAGGGCCCAGGTCTGGTTCTGGGGTATCTCGTCCTGCCCCGTGCATTGGGTCTCTAGCATCCGTCTCCCCGCTTGGGTTTCGGAAGTTTTCAGCCTCCGGCTTGGCCTCTTTCGCTGCAGGTGTTTCAGTGTCCGCTGGCTGCCACAGCGACAGCCCTGAGGGCGGGGGCAGAGGGCGTGGGGGTCTCCACCTGGCCGTCTTGCGCCCACCCCAGGCCCGCAGGGTTTGCTGGGGACAGGGCCTAGCCTCCCCGTCTCTCCTGGGAATCGTCACTCACCTGCCATCAGGGGCCTCTATCTGCCTGCGTGTACATGGGTCTGCCAGCGCCTTTGTCCACCCCTTCTTGCCTCAACCCAGCCTGAGAGCAGCCCCAGCCCCAGTGCTGAGGAATCAGCTTCTGGAACCATCTGGCCCTTCCTTCCACCTTGGGGACCCGCCCAGAGTCCCTGGGGGCTCACTGCTCAGGGATTACTTCTAGCAGTGCTCTGGGCACTGTTTGTGGTGCCAGACTTTGCACTCAAGGCCCCTGTATACAAAGCGTGTGCTTCAGCCACTGAGCACTCCTGGCCCCTGTGGTGAGATTTCAAACAAAGGGAGACAGGAAGGGCTCCAGGGAGCACCCGCCAAATCTCTCAGTTCAGCTCTTCTCACACTCCTCCCTTATAGAAAATGATTCACTTATTTATTTATTTATTTTTGCTTTTTTTTGGGTCACACCCGGCAATGCACAGGGGTTCCTCCTGGCTCTGAACTCAGGAATTACTCCTGGTGGTGCTCAGGGGACCATATGGGACGTTGAGAATCGAACCCGGGTCAGCCGCGTGCAAGGCAAACGCCCTATCTGATGTGCTATCGCTCCAGCCCCAAATGATTCACTTTAATGCAGGACCTACCAGTCACCCTTTGGAAGAAAAGACGGTCAAATCTTCTCTCTGCAGAGGATTTGCACGCGCGTGCACGTGTGTGTGTCATGTGTATGCGTGCGTGTGTGTGTGTGTACACGTAAGTGTATCGAAGTTTCCTGTAATTAATATAAAAAGATAATGCAGCCGGGGTTCATCGGGTCTTAGATGTGTGGGTTTGTCTTTGAATTCCCAACGATTTCCTTATTTGCCCTCCTCTGGGTGCCGTGTGCCTCAGCAATTAGAAAACTGCTTTTTTTTTCCCTTTTCTCTTCTTTAAACTCTGTTGAGGCTGTAACGAGGTGTTTCTTGTTGCAGGTGCAGATTTATGAATTAGAAGAGCATAAGATAGAAACCTGGAGAGGTGAGCGCTGGCCTGCTGGGGTCTGCAGACTGTCCGGGTTTCTGAGTTGGAAACTTCTGTCTTTCTCGGGGTGGGGGTGGGGGTGGGGCGCACCGTGTTCTTTCACGTTGTTCTGGGGATCCCCAGAACAAGTCCCTGCGGAAGGCGGGGAGGGCAGGAAGTGCACCCCACCTCTACCCTGGGGGCTCCGCTGAACCCCCTGCAGGCGCCTTTGGACGTGAAAGCCTCCGGAGTCAGAGTGACGGCGAGGCGTAGAGCCAGGTGATTTGACCCGAGCTAGAAACATGAAAATAACGTCAAGACGTTTGGCAGCTAGCGCAGGGAACAAGGTGCCTGCCTCAGACACAGCTGCCCCCCAAATGTGACCCTCCCCACATCGGGTCCCCTGAGCAGAGAGCCGGGAGTCAGCCCTGAGCACCGCGGGGTTCGCATGGAAACAAAACACGCACAGCTGCTTTCTACTGGAACATTCCGGCCACGCAGTCCCCAAATCACAGTGACCGTTTCCGAACCAGCAGCTCAGAAATGTGTCAGGTTCGAAGTCCGCAGTTGTAGCTCGTCCTGTGTGAGGGAAAAGCTCCGTGTTGGGCTACGGGATGGCGAACGGGCACCACGGGGCAGCCGGGAGGGATGACAGAGGCCTGGAGGGGCACCCGGGAAGGGTCTCTGAGGGGCCGCTGGGGGCGGCTTTGGGCTGTGCTTTCGGGCGCAGCCGCCTTGGTGCCTGACTGAGCTGAAGCCCTGACCTGACTCCAACTCTGTTGCTCCCTGTGGGGTGTGTGACAGAGCCCAGCTGTCGAGTGACACCAGAAAGCATGGGGCAGAGTGGCCGAGGGTGGCGGCTCCCTGCTAGGGCCCGGGGCGGGGACGGGGAGGGGGTGAGCGTCTCGCACCCCTGGGGAGGGAGGTGCACACCAGGGTTTGGTGTTCCCCCACCAGACCTCACTGCTCCCTCCTCGTCGTCATTCTCTCTCCACATTCTTGAGGGCCTTGGGTGAAATCCTCAGTAAAGCAAGTGAGTTCCCATGACTTGTTGCAAAAGCTATTCCTGCATCCCAGGAATTTCCCGGCATGTAATTTTTTTTTTTTCATTTCATTTCATCATCCTGTTATTCGTCGATTGCCTCGAGCAGGCCCCAGTAACGTCTCTTTCATCCTAGCCCTGAGATTATATTCAAGGCTATTTAGGAGAATGAGACCCATCATTGTTACTGGTATTTGGCATATTTGGTACACCACGGGGAATTTGCCAGACTCTGCCCTGTGGGCAGGCTACATTCGATAGCCTGCAAGTTTGTCCAAAGTAGGAATGAGACAATAAGATGTCATAAAAAAAAGTTCTGATAAGATGTCGCGCGGCCGACATAATATAATATAATAATAAAATAATAATAAAATATAATTTATTATAGCATTAGCTTATTAGAATAAAACTGGAGAGCGGGGGCTGGAGCGACAGCACAGTGAGCGGGGAGGGCGTTTGCCTTGTACGCAGCCAACCCAGGTTCGATTTCCAGCATCCCATATGGTCCCATGAGCACCACTAGGAGTAATTCCTGAGTGTGGAGCCAGGAGTAACCCTTGTGCATCACCGGGTGTGACCCAAAAGGCAAAACAAACAAAAAAAAGTGGAGAACATTGGCAGGACAAAGTTGACTCCAACTTTAGTTTTCTTTTGTTTGTTTTGGGGACACACCCAGCAGTGCTCAGGGATCACTCTCGGCGTGCTCAGGGGTCCATATGGGCTGCCAGAGAGCAAACCTGGGTGGTCCGCTTGTAAGGCAGGCGCCCTCCCTGCTGTCCTGTCTCTCCGGGCCGGACTTGGGTTTTCTAGCCTGGAGGGACCATTTGAAAGGACAAGCGGGCCCGGACTTGGTGGCATTCTGGTGACCTCTGCTGGCTTTGCTCTGCCTTCCGCTGTCTCCTGGCTTTTACGACGGCCACCATAAGGCTGTTCACAGCAGCTGCCGCATCGCTGTGTTTCGCTGTGTTTCAATATTTCTTTATTCCACAAAAGCCACCTCTTAAAATCACCATGGAAGTTGTTGGAAATAGCCGTAACTAATTACCCGGCAGTTTTCGGTCCATCAAGTGTGTTTGATTTGTGCTTTTAATAGGTTTGAGTCTCGCTCCTTCACGTGTTTCTCATTTGGTGACAAACGCAAAGCAGTCGCCCTGGGATTAATTGCCGCCTTTCTTTTCCCCGACACAGAGCTTTACTTACAAGAAACATTTAAGCCTCTAGTGAACATTTCTCCAGATGCCAGGTAAGCGGGGACATGTCGGGCTGCTCTGACAACGAAGATCCGTCTCTGGGGCGGTACAAGAGTCTTTGCCCTCATGCTTGGCCTCCTCCATCCACGGGCCCAGCATGTCACCAGGGTAGATGGGCCAGTCAGGGTGGGGGCAGGTGAGAACTGCGGCTCCTTGGAGCTAGGAAAGCCCCTCTCTGTGCTTTGGGGCACACAGGGATCAATCTGCAGCTTCACTTGGATGGAAGCCTCTGGAACATTCTAGAGCTCTGGTGAGCAAACTGGAGGCTCCATTTGAATCTAGGGCCCGCGACTGCTCCATAGCTCAGCAGTTTTGAATTAACTGTAGCTCCCAGTTGCACTTGGAGTTTCTCCGCAGCTAGGAAGCTTCCAGAACTTTCCGAGACCCCGGGTGGGAGCCTCCCAGCGAGCAGGCTCCCGGCCAGCTGTGCTCTCCCAGGCTCCTAATCCCTTTGCTGCTCTTCCCGCAGTCTCTTCGATGCCGTTTACTCGTTGATCAAGAATAAGATCCACCGACTGCCCGTCATCGACCCCATCAGCGGGAATGCACTTTACATTCTCACCCACAAAAGGATCCTCAAGTTCCTCCAGCTCTTTGTGAGTAGCTTGTGTTTCTCCAGACGGGGCTGCCGCAGCTTCAAGGGCCTTCATGGAAGTTGCCCCCGTCGGCCGGCACCATAGAAATAAAAAAAAAAAGGATTGTTTTAAGGCCCCCGTTTCTACACTTGAGTTTCTCACTCACTGCTGTTGGAATTGTACGTCCCTAATGCCCTTCCAGTTCAAATGCCACCGTCTTTCAAACTGAATACCCAAAAAAATGGGAACACGGGCCAGAGCAACAGGACAGCCGGGAGGGTGTTTGCCTTGCACGCAGTTGACCCGGTTTCGCGCCCCGGCATCCCGTAGGACTCCCTGACAGGAGCGATTCTATGTGCAGCGCCAAGAGTGATCCCTGAGCGTCTCTGGGTGTCGCCCCCAAACCAAAAACAAAAAGGAAAAAGAAAGAAAACACAGGCCCGAGAGAGTACAGCGGGAAAGGCGCTTGCCTTACACCCAGCTGTCCCGGGTTTGATCCCCAAGCAGAGCCAGGAGTGGGCCTGAGCGCCATCTGGTGTGGGCCAGCAAAAAAACCCAAAATTAATAAAACCACTTGGAACTTGGAGGGCTCCTTAGGTTTGGGGGTCACACTGGCATTTCCACACATGCACCCCTGGCGCTGAGCTCAGGGATCACTCTTGGCAGGGCTCAGGGCTCCATCGAGGCTCCCCGGGATGGACCCAGGTCTGCCGTGTGCAAGGCACGGGCCTTCCCCCCATCCTGTCTCTCCGGCCCCAGCATGGGCCCTTTTGGTATAAATTTGAGTACCTTACACACGGGAAAGTGAAGCAGTTTACAACCCATCTCGTTAGAAAAGATTCTAAATCGGTAAATCGGGCCAGTATTTACGGCCGAGTGCCTGATGAGGCTGTCAGTGGGAGTTATGGGCTTAGAGCCGTTGTCAAAGGTGGCAGCGCCCAAGATGATCTTGTTAACTGCAGCAGTGTCAGGAAGACGCAGAGTTTTGGCAGGAGAGGAGAACCTTGTGAGTCCAGATCAGGGCGTCAGGACGCAACCCGGCTCCCAGGTGGAGGGAGAGGAAGGCAGGTCCTGGCGACCAGTCACTGCGCTCACTGCATGATCATTGCTCCGTCTTTGCAATAATTCTGACACTTATTTTTCTTGGGTTTTTTTTCTTTTGGTCCTTTTGTTGGGGGCGGGCCACACCCAGGGTGCTCAGGACTTACTCCTAGCTATGTGCTCAGGGGTCACAGGCACTGCAGGGGGCACCATATAGGATGCCGGGGACTGAACGCATGTGGACCGTGTGCAAGCCAAGCGGCCTGTTTACTGTACTATCTTTCCAGCCCCCAAGACAGTTTTTTTTTTAATTTTTTCACATAGGTCGGGGCCTGGAGTTAAGGCGTTTGCCTTGCATGTAGCCAAGCCTGGTTTTCTTCACCAGCCTCACTCACAGTGCCCCCTGAGCACGGCCCGGAGTGATCACAGAGCACAGAGCCAGGAATAAGGCCCAAGGACTTCTGATTATAACCCAAACGCCCCCAAAAACAAATTTTTAATTGACACAGGGCCAGAGGAAGAGAGCACAGGGCTTAAGGGCAGTGCTTTGATCAGTGCCCAGTCCAACCCCTGTCATGGCATCATGTCCCAGCCCCCTAGCACGCCACAGCACTCGGGAATTTACAAAAAAATCTTTACGTAACGGTTGTACCCCACTTTTTAGCCAAAAAAAAAAGTCAAGTCTAAAAATCTGCGAAATTTAAGTGGCAAATGTGGTAGATTGTCTCAGCAAGCTGGGCAGGGCTTGCGGGGTTGGGGGAGGGCGCCTGTGGAGTGGGGGCGGGGCGGGCGGGTCCAGGGGCGGGGCCAGCAGGGAGGGGCGGGGCTTGCGGGGCGGGGCGGGCTGGAGCAAGGCCCGTCCTGAGCCCGAGCCCGCACCCCTCCCCAGATGTGCGACATGCCCAAGCCCGCCTTCATGCGGCAGAACCTGGAGGCGCTGGGCATCGGCACGTACCGCAACATCGCCTTCATCCACCCCGACACGCCCATCATCAAGGCACTCAGCATCTTCGTGGACAGGCGGGTGTCGGCCCTGCCTGTCGTGGACGAGGCGGGTGAGTGCAGCCGTTGCCACAGCGACGCGGGCGGGCACTGGGGCACTGAGACTCGGGCTGGGCACTGGGCACTGAGATTTGGATGGGCACTGGGACATGAGACTCTGACAGGCACTGGGGCACTGAGACTCGGGCTGGGCACTGGGGCACTGAGACTCGGGCTGGGCACTGGGGCATGAGACTCGGGCTGGGCACTGGGGCACTGAGACTCGGGCTGGGCACTGGGCACTGAGACTTGGGCCGGGCACTGGGCACTGAACCTCAGATGGGCACTGAGGCATGAGACTTGGGCGGGCACTGGGCATTGAGACTCGGGGTGGGCACTGGGGCACTGAGACTCGGGCCGGGCACTGAGCCTCAGATGGGCACTGAGGCAGGAGACTCAGGCGGGCACCAGGGCACTGAGACTCGGGGTAGGCACTGGGCACTGAGATTCGGATGGGCACTGGGGCATGAGACTCTGGCAGGCACTGGGCACTGAGACTTGGGCCAGGCACTGGGCACTGAGCCTCAGATGGGCACTGAGGCACGAGACTCGGGCGGGCACCAGGGCACTGGGACTCAGGGTGGGCATTGGGCGCTGAGACCCAGGCTGGCATGGGGGATCTGCCGGTGGCCAGAAGGGGCCCTGGGCCCTGAGCACCACTTGGGAGCGTGAGAAGACGGATCTGCGGTGCTATTGTTTGTTCCTGACATTGTTTTCTGACACACTTTTTTTCACTTTCAGGAAAAGTTGTAGATATTTATTCGAAATTTGATGTCATTGTAAGTATTGTTGTTTTATTAAACCTGACCTACCGGGGCCAGAAAGAGAGTGGAGGGGTTAAGGCGCTTGCCAGCCCTGGTTTCATCCCCAGCACCACGCAGGGTCGCCCGAGCCCAGCTGGAGTGGTCCCTGAGCACAGAGCCAGGAGTAAGCCCTGGGCATCGCTGGGAGTGGCCCCCAAACCATAAAACACAAAACAAACCAAACCCCCGCCTTGCAGAAAGTGCTGGAGTTTCACTGTGAGTGTGAGGAACCTGCTCTGTCCTGTGGGAGGGCGGGAATCAGGAATCAGGCCTTCTGCCTCCCTGAGTCTCCATCTACACATCGGGGACGGGGTGGGGACATGGTGACCCACCACAGCTCAGCGGGTCTTACTGTCCCCATGCATAGCCATGCCCCCCCCACGCCCAGCGAGTGCTCCCACAGTAACCGGCGTTCTGGGTTTGAGATTATTCTTGGCCCTTGTGTGTTCAGACTCACTGCACTCGGCCCCAGGTCGGCCACGAATCTCAGGCGTGTGTGGTGGCCTGGGTAGGAGCCTGCTGACCCCGCAGTGGCCATGAGGGCCCCCACTCTGCACTTCCCACGGAAAAGGCTGCTCCCTGTTTGCTGCACCGGGGTCCAGACCCTGAGCCCCACGTGTCCAGGACAGACCCTCGCGGTGGTAGCCGAGGGGCCTGGTGTCAGCCCTCCTGGGGAGTCCCACAGCCCTGCTAACCCCTCTCGCACCCTGCTCTCCTTCATGTGGTTGCCCCCCAAAGAGTGATGCTTTGAGGCGCAGGTTCAGGGGAACCATCTGGGCTCTCAGAACCCTGGGAAGCCACTTGGACCCCCGGGTCTCACACGGCCTCTTCTCCCTCTGTGATGATGTGATCCTGGAGGGGGGAGTCAGGGGCTCCTAGGGCAGGCAGCTGCCATGCCGTGCCCGTCCTGAGCGGGAGATGGGGGCAGCCGAGTGGGTGGCAGCGGGAGAGCGCCCAGCCAGAGCCCCCGGGACTGTGCCCTCGCCACGGGCCCCGGCGAAAACCATCCCTGTCTCTCAAAACCAGGCGGCTTAAGCGGTGCCTGGTGGCCACCGAGTGACAGGGTCTCCTTGTCGCCCGGTTGCAGAACCTTGCTGCTGAGAAAACCTACAATAACCTCGACATCACGGTGACGCAGGCGCTCCGGCACCGGTCCCAGTACTTCGAGGGGGTGGTGAAGTGCAGCAAGCTGGAGACGCTGGAGACCATCGTGGACCGCATAGTGAGGGCCGAGGTGAGCCGCCCCGCCGTGCGCCCCCCGCAGCCCCCCGGGACGCGCGGGCACTCGCTGAATGGGCGGCGTGGTTGCTCAGGGCTCAAGGGGCTGCTCGGATGCTTTCGTGGTTTTCCTGTTGGCTTGGGGGCACATCCGGGGCTGACTCCGGAGGGGGCTCCGGGTGCAAGGGTGGAATCCGGGTCAGCTGCAGGCAAGGCAAGCGCCCTCCCCCCGCCCGCTATACTGTCTCTGCCCCCCCACACACACCCCAATCAGAGCATTTTCTTTCATTTTTTGTTTGGAGGCCACACCCAGTGTTGCTCAGGCGTTACTTCTGGCTCTGCACTCAGCAATCACTGGTGGTGGGTGTGGGGGTCCATATGGGATGTCGGGGATCGAACCCAGGCGGGCGTCCTGCAAGGCAAGTCTTTCCTGCTCTCCTGTCGCTCTGGCCCCATCAGGGCATTTTCTGATCTAGTACAACCGTTGGCTTAATTCATAATTAAGTTCATGACAGTATTTTTGGGTTGGGGGCCACAGCCGTTGATTCTCAGAGGCTGGCCCCAGCTCTCTGCTCTGTGCTCACTCCCAGCAGTGCTTGGGGGACCCTGGGTTCAGGGATCAAACCCAGGCCTCCTGCGCACAAAACCGGGGCTCCATGGGCTGGAGCGATAGCACAGCAGGTAGGGCGTTTGCCTTGCACCAGCCGACCCAGGTTTGATCCCCGGCATCCCATAGGGTCTCCAGAACACGGCCAGGAGTAATTCCTGAGTGCATGAACCAGGAGTAACTCCTGTGCATCGCTGGGTGTGACCCAAAAGGGAAAAAAAACAAAACCAAGCTGGGGTCCAGCCCATCGCAGGGATATGGAAGACACTGAGTGTTTTTAGAGAAACTCACAAAGAAATGCATTAGGTGGCATGAGAAAGGCGACTTTTCCTTGAGCCCACGGCTGTGGTGTCGGAAGTGTTCCCGTTGGAGATGAGATCTAAAGGCGTCGTTCCGCTTTCCTTACCCCCTTCCGGTGGCCCCCTCTTTCGTGCGGGGGTGTGGGAAAGAGGAAGCTGGTCTGGCCTGGGGCCGGCTGATGCCCGTGTTTGCGAGGCGCAGGGGAGCAGCCGCCCTCCTGAGACCTGCCCTCAGGCCTCGCAGCCAGCGCCCCGGGACCCCGGAGCTGGCCTGTTGTCCGACAGACCTTGAGGTGGCAGCAGCCCGGCTTGCTCCCAGCAGTCAGGTGGTGGCGTTGCTCTGTGACCCTCGTGCCTGTGGGTGTTAGCGCTGTGGCCGCGTTTGTGGTCCACGGAAGGTGATTTTTCTTTCTTGACTCTCCCAGGCTTTCTCGTCCGCAGGTGCATCGGCTGGTGGTAGTCAATGAAGCCGATAGTATCGTGGGTATCATCTCCCTGTCGGACATCCTGCAGGCCCTGATCCTCACCCCCACAGGTACGCCCCCCCATCACCTGTACGCTGAGTTCTCAGGAGAACTGGGATGAGGGTTCCCTGCCCAGCTTTGCAGCCCTGGTTCATTTCTCTGAGGCTTCCCCCAACTCCGCCAAGCCGGGGTGAGAGAGAAAAGCGCGTGGCAAGTGTCGGGGTCCAGGGGCGCAAGACCCGGGGCAGCTGTGCATGGGACCCTCCTGCTTTCCAAGGGGACAGCTCACTCCTTCCTTCCCACAGTGGCGTCTTGAGAGTCGGACTTTGTAGGACCATGGCAGCATTGCCCAAAAGTCACCCAGTACAAGGTCCAGGGTTTTCCACATGCCTGGGAAGGGGCGGAGGACGGGAAGCTCAGTGGTTATGGGAGGCCAACAGAGGGGCTCCGGGTCATCCAGAGGCCTGAAAGCGTTGAGTCCAGCTGCAGGCCTGAGGGAATGGGAGCCGCTGGGAGGGGCCGCGTCTGAGCCTAGGGAGGCTGCAAAGAAAACGGACCCTGAGAGTCAGCTCTGAGCTGCTGCTTTCGTCACAAAGACTCTGAGACCTTGGGCGCGTCAAAGCTCGTCGCAGCTGGTGTTGGGGAAGGAAACGCGCCAGTGTCATGAACAACCTTCCCCCCGCGGGGAAAAGTGACGGTTTTCAAGGGAAAAGAAAAAGCTCCTCAACTTGCTTTTTTTTTTTTCTCTCTATTTCTAACTGGAAAACACAGGAGGAATTCCTTTTTGGGATAAACTATTAAAGCCATCTGTCCTTAAAAAAAAAAATCTCGTGTTTTGAGTATGTGAAACTCAAACCCAAAGACACGATTTCTTTTTTGTGTCACACTGTACAAGCGACTTTAAGCGCCCAACTGTGTGGACAGCCGGGTCGGCCCCTGGAGCCCTGGAGCCGCCGACACACTGTCATGGCACATTCGTGGCCTTGGGAAGGGCCCGGGGCACCCCTGTGCCGGGACAGTGGGACTGCAGGACACGGGAGGGTCCAGCTCACACTGACAGGGAGGGGCCTCACGCCTTCTTCCTCCAGTCTGCCCCCGCCATCCGTGACCTGCACACACAGATGTGGGGGCAGAATATTGCAGGGGTAGGCGTGGGGTCATTAGTTTTCCTCTCCTGCAGAAATCAAGGGGCTGAGACCCGCTTTTCAGAAGCAGCTCCCTGGGGGGGGCCATTCTCCCCCACCCCCGCCCCGAACACATGTGGCACTCGGGGACTTCGGCCTGCCAGTCTTAATTCATGAGCACCTGGCAGGCCCTGGGCATGGAGCACGCAGCCGCTTCCCGGTCGGGGAACAGACCCTGCTGCTTGGGTGACAAGAAGCACTTGGGGGGCTGGAGCGACAACACAGCAGGGAGGGCATTTGCCTTGCATGCAGCTGACCCAGGTTCGGTCCCCAGCATCTCATATTACCCCCCTGAGTGCAGAGCCAGGAGGAACCCCTGTGCGTTGCCGGGTATGCTCCAAAAAGCCCCCCCAAACAAAAGAAGCATTTGGTCCCGGAGCTGTACCTGCAGTGGCCCAGGGGACTCCGCCTGGCGTGAGCACTGAAGGAGGAGTACTGCCTGCATGGCCCTGTCTGAGTGTCGCAGGCTGCTCCAGAGCCCCCAGGCCAACCACTGGGCATCCCTCTGTCCCTCCACAGGGACTTGGGAGGAAGGGACAGCGTGACGCGCAGCTGTTCTGGCAGGGGTGGGTGCCCTCGGCAGTGAGAGGAAGAACAGCTGGTGCGCAGGGGTGAGGTGCGGCCTCTCCATCCCCACCGAGGCTGCTGCTCCACGCACCCATGGGATCTGAGCTCCGTCCCTGCACCCCAAGGACTTGCTCGGCATATACCCAGCCCGGTGTCATCCCCAGACCTCAGAGGGTCCCCCGGGAGTGACCCCTGAGCACCGCTGGGTGTGACCGCAGAGCCCCCAGACCCGTCCGCGAGAGCAGTCCAGAGCCAGTCGCCTCTCCTGCAGACAGGCTGAGGCGCATCTCAGCCTAGGCCCACCCAGCAACTGGCCACACGCCTTGGTAGGTTGTGGGGCTGGTGTCTCTCACCTCTGTGAGGAGAAAGGAGAGAGGCTGTGTGAGCAGGAACATGGTAGTGCTCCCACCCTAAGGGCACACCCTCTCCCCCAGCCCCCGAAAGCACGGACAGCTGAGACCCCGCCCCAGGCCACCAGCGCTCCTGACCCCATCAGTGGCCCAGCGTGGCTCAGCGGAGAGCCTGCTCCCCTCCTGAACATGACTTCTGGCTTTTTGTTTGGGTTTTGGGGCCTTACCCAGTGGTGCTCAGGGCGTGCTCCTGGCTCTGTGCTCCTGGCCCTGTGCTCAGGGATCACTCCTGGCAGAGCTTGAGGGTCCCAGTGGAGTTCTGGGAATCGAACCCAGGTCGGCCACATGCAACGCAAGGATCCTACCTGCTGTACTATCGCTCCGGACATTCAGTGACGAGTTTTCTCCTCCGCAATCAAAGGAAAAAGTTTTGTTTTTTTTTTACTGGTTAGATCATTTATTTTTTTTTAATTTTTTTAATTTTTATTAGTGAGACACCATGAGGTACAGCTGTAGACTTACAAATTTTTGTGCTTGGGTTTCAATTATACAATGATCAATTATACAGTGTTTGATCATTGTATAACTGAAACCCATCCCTCCACCAGTGCCCATTTCCCACCACCACGGATCCCAGTATGTGGGGATGGGGGGCGGGAGGAAAAAGGTTTTAAGGGCGATTGTAGCCTCCAGCCCCTCTCGCCAACCCGCTCGGCCCCTGGAGCCTGGCTGTGTGTGCTCCAAGGCCTGCTGGGCGCGACGGGGTGCCCCACACAGCACAGCCAACTTTGTGCCCTCCCCCCCACCAGGTGCCAAACAGGAGCCAGAAGCCGAGTGACGCGGGACAGGCAGCAGCCGACGGCCAGGTTGGACGAGGCTCCGGCGCCCGCTTCGCCTCACTCAGCGCTCGCTGCAGGAGGGACCAGGCTCGGGACGGACACCGGGGTTTGTGACGGGGTCTCCTCCAGCGATGCTGGACCTCCGCCGAGAGCAGGACAGACGGAGGGACCGGAAGGTGTGGGCGTGTCCGACGAGACTCTTCCGGGACCTCTGACGGGTCTCCGATGCTGTATGTCATTAAAGTGCACTGCGTCCTCCACTCTCCCTACGTTTCCTTTCCAAGGCCACTGGCGTGCCAGGTGCCAGGGCCCGAGCCGGCAGGTGGGGCGTGCGGACCGAGTGCCTTATGCCAGACCCCAGCGGCCGGGCTCCTGGCCCGCCGGCCCACGAGGCTGTGAACCTTTACCAAATCCTTCGTTTCATTCCGCTTGGCCGGCAGCCGTTTGCTCTCGCGCGCCCGGAGACGGCTCGCGGCCGTGGGACGTGATGCGTGCGGGTCCCAGTGCGAGCAACAAGACTTTCTCCAACAGCTTTACTGATTCTTCCTTTCACGCCATTTTCTCACACGCCTTGCGGGTGACTGTTGTGGGCCTTGACCTTGAACCCCGGCGGTGAGTGGCCGTCACCGTACCCTCACCATCCCGGGCAGGACGGAGCACTGGGAAGTCGTTGATTTTCTCCTTACGTGTTTAACTGTAAAATCACGCTATGTGTGCACATGTGTGTGTGTGTGCGTGTGCGTGTGCGCGCGCGTGCCGCCGTGGCTGTATTTGTAAACCCGACGGCGGCATCTCTGAATTCACGTGGCTGGACAGGAGCTGTTTCCCGACACGCGTGCTCGGAGCACGTGGGCGCTTGTACATACAGAAGCCAACTTCGGTTTCTTGTTTGGGGAGGGAGTTGGGTTGGTGTGGTGGTTGCTGTGTTTTTTGTTGTTTGGGTTTTGTGTTTTGGTTTTGTTTTGTTTTTTCCTTCCTTGCGGATTGAAAAATTAAAAGAAATCTGACTACCTTTCTGTTGAAGCTCTTCTCTGCGGCCCACGCGACACCTTTATGTTCGACCTGCCTTTTCGTTCTTAGCTCCTGCCCCGTCCACCCACAGACCCCCGTGGAGTCTCGCCCTTTTCCTCCGTGCCCAGGTCAGAAACCCTTCGTGACTTAATCCCTCAACTCCTGAGGCCGGAGCCAACACCTGGGGCCTCCTTGCTCGGGGCCACGCGGGGGACCCTCGACTTTCCCATTCGTTGCTCAGAACCCCACAGTCCCGCAGCCTCAGGGTCAAGGTCAGCCACCTCCGTGGGGTGGGGCCCTCCCAGGCGCCAACATCACCTCTTCCCTGTGACACCCGTCCCCTACCCCCACAGCCCTGCCCCCCCTCTGGGTGAGGAGGGGCCTGGGTGCGGCCACAGCCCTCTCTGTCCGTCCCAGAGGCCCTGCGGGAGGGAGGTTTGGCCTTTCTGACTTCAGGCACAACTCAGGGACAGTTCTCTGCGCCCAGGGCCGCCCCCGACTGGGCCACGGGGAGGAACAGGCCTGGGATGCTCCCCCAGGGCTCCACTTGTGGGGGGCGACTGGGGCCCCCTGGAATGCCCCAGCCCAGTTTCAGCTCGTGAGTCCCCTCACCCCATTTGAGACCAGGAATCTCGCCCCCCTGCTGAGGCGGTCTTGCCCCAGTGCAAAAGACAATGAGGCCAGAGCTGGAGCAATAGCACAGCGGGGAGGGCATTTGCCTTGCACGCGGTCGACCCAGGTTCGATTCCCAGCATCCCATACGGTCCCCTGAGCACCGCCAGGAGTGATTCCTGAGTGCAAAGCCAGGAGTGACCCCTGAGCATCACCGAGTGGGACCCAAAAAGCAAAAAAAAAAAAAAAAAAAGACAATGAGGCCGAGGCCCAGAAGGGGATGGGGCAGTCCCCAACGCTCCCTCTTCAGCCAGCCCTTTCTGAATTCTGGAAGGTTCCCTCGGCCATCTCTTCGGTAGACCTGGGTTTGGGGACCTGGGCTCCTTTATTTGGAACCGGGGCTGTGTTCAGTGGGGGTTGCTTCCTGTCCCCCCCGGAAGGACCCGCAGTGTCTGCGCTGTAGGGTGGGTGAGGGGGTCTTCCCTGTTTGGGACAAGACTAGGCTGCTCCCAGCAAGCGACAAGGAGATGGCGCTGCTGAGGGCGGTCCCCCCGGCGGACGCTTCTCAGTGGGGACTCGAGGGGCGCCCCAAAGGGGCTCGCCGAGGCGGTGGGGCCAGGCGACCAGCCCAGAACGACCAGAGCGTCCCAAAACAACAAACTGTTCACACTTTGCACACAAGACTTTCAACCCAAGCCAGCTCGCGCGCTTCCTGTTTTGTTTTTTCAACACCAAATCGGCACCTGCCGTGCTTGGGGCCACCGAGGCCACTGAGTTGGGGGGGGAGGCAGTGCTGTGGAGCCAGCCCCCCACTCACGCCTCCCGGGGAGTGTCCTGGCTCGGAGGGGTGCTCGGAGGCTGTCCCCGGTGTCCCCAGGCTGAGCCGTGCGGGTTCAGAGGCGGCGCGGCCGCAGGCTCTCCCCGACACGAGACAATTTGTCTTAGCCGGGCAGATGAGACTCGGGCCAGGCGCAGGCTGTGACGGGAATAACAAGCAGATGGTGGCCGAGGTTTCCTGGTGGCTGGAGCCGGCGTCAGAAATAGGACACGCTGCTATTATTAGCCCCCAAGGGAAAGGCTCCAGGAACCGGCCCTGTGATCTCCGTGCCTGCTCCCAGCTGGAGCCTTCACCTGCGGCGCCCCGGGCGGCTCCCCACTTTGTGCTCGCAGCCGCACTTGACCCAGATGCCTTTTGGGGGGGGGGGGGAACAGGTTTTTTTTAAAGATATGCAAACACTTCTAAAGAGAGAACGGCGGGCGTGTACTTCCTTCTATTCTTCCCAAATATATGCTTCCCCCACCCCCACCCCCACTTGGGGAGACGGAGCAGAGGCTTTAAGGGGGGGGGGGCTGTCCTGTGGACTGAGGGGACACGCCCACCTGCAGCCCCCGACCCTCCTGCCTCTCCAGTTCCAGCGAGTGAGAACAGGTGACCGGTAGCGCCCCTCCTGCCCCCGGCCTGTCCACCGTCCTGCATCCAGATGCCCACGGCCCTCGCCCTCCCCTCCTGCCTGCCCCTCCCCCCTCAGCTCCGGCTCTTCTGGTCCGCTTTCTCTCCAGACTCCGCAGGGGGTCTGCTCCAGGGGCAGTGCTCCCCTCCGTCCATCTGTCTACCGGAGGCTCCCCTCCAGCCAGTCCTTCTGCCGCATCTGGACACACAGACGCCCCGAGGGGTGCTCGGAGGCTGTCCCCGGTGTTCCCAGGCTGAGCCGTGCGGGTTCAGAGGTGGCGCGGCCGCAGGCTTTCCCCGACACAAGACAATTTGGCCCCTGCAGAGGCCACTGTGCTCCGTGGGTTGTGTCCACCTCAGGGCTTGCCTTTCCCCTGAGTTCATCCTGTTCCGCGGAGGCGGGTGCCTTGGGCTGGGGTGGGAGTTCCCTGGAGAGCATCTAGAGGCCCCTCGTGGGCTCGTGTGTACGGACGCGTGTTCCTCTACCTCCCGCTCATTTCCCAGTTTCCTTCATCATGGCCTTCTGGCCTGTGAGCCAGACAGAGTGTGTTTCCTATTTCCCGGACATCCAGCTGCTCCTTCTACCTCAGTTTCTGGCTCCTGCGTGACTGGCTGTGGCCAGAGCAGAGGGGGAACTGCTCGCGCCGAGAGCTCGGGGGCACAGTTCCCGCCCGGGTGCAGGCTGGCAGGAGAGGGTTGCGGTCCTCTGTCCAGCTGTGCTGTCCCTTCTGAAGTTTGAACATGCATTGTGGCCCCGAGAAGTGGTGCCGGAGTTGAGGCTCTCCTCCTGCACACAGCTGACCCAGTTGGAGGCCTGGTACCACCTCGGGGCCCCAAGCCCTGCCAGGGGTCACTCCAGGGCACAGAGCCAAGAACGGTTCCTGAGGCTCCCGGGTATCACCCACCGCAGCCCTGCCCCCAGTTCCTGAGAAATCACAGTTCCCCATGTGACTTGCTTCTGGGTCGAGTGAGTGTCATAGTTTACATGAATAGGAAGTTAGAGGCTGCGTGAAAGTTTAGGCCTGTGATGTGCTCCTGGGGAAGTAACCCTTTTAGAGTGAAATCAGGGCCATCTCTTCCCAGAATACTGGTTTTGCTTTCAAACCTATTTTCAATTCCACATCCTCTCAGTTTTCCCTTTAATATTTGGTCTATCTTTATCCACTGTTGAATGTTGTTTTAACTGTTTCTCTTGTCATTGTTATAAAGGTGATTATTTTTCTAATCTTTTTTTTTAGGTCACACCCAGCAATGTATGGGGATTACTCCTGGCTCATGCACTCAGGAATTACTCCTGGCGGTGCTTAGGGGACCATACGGGATGCTGGGAATCAAACCCGGGTCGGCTGCGTGCAAGGCAAACGCCCTACCCGCTGTGCTATTGCTCCAGCCCCTGCAAATTTGTTCTTAATAGTTCTTTTGTGCATTCAATGTTCCAGCACCAATCTCACATGTGGTTACTATCTATATATTTGGGAGGGTTTGATTTTGGGGCCACACCCAGTGGTGCTCAGGGGTCACTTCCTGCAGGCTCGGGGACCAACCCTGCCTCTGGGCAGCCCGAGCCCACATTCTGCTCCAGTCCAGGCAGATGTGGCCTCAGCTGCAGAGAACCTCATCAGGAGTAGGAGTTTAGGGCTGGGAGAGTTTGACATCCCCACAGCTACCCACCTCCCCCAAAAGAGAATTTGCCTGAACTGTCGTATGAGGAGCCAGAGGAACAGCAGAGGGTAAGTGTTGACCCTGGGTCCATCCTCAGTACTGCACAGGGTCTCCTGAGCACAGCTGGGGTGGGCCCAAGCAGAAAAAAAATCCAGAAAATGCACAAAGCAAGAATGCAGTATAATACCGAATCCTGGCCGTCAGAACTGTGTTGGCCTAAGAGCGTGCATCTTCCACCATAGACCTCAGAGCCAGAGAGATGGTAAGGTGGGTAGGGTGCTTGCCTTGGTCACGGCCGACAGTTTCAATCCCCAGATGACTCCCGGAGTCCTGCCAGGAGTGATCCCTGAGCACTGAGCCAGGAGTAAGCTCTGACCACCATTGATGTAGCCCAAAACAAAACAGAAAACCAGAAAAAAACAAAAACATCGTATTACTGTTAAAACTACAGTTTAAAGAGTCTTTTAAGAAAAAAGTTGTTAATTTAAGTTGAGTGATCCTGATGTTAGAATCAGCCATGATTTAAAAAATCCTCATCCAGGGGCTGGAGTGATAGCAGAGCAGGTAGGGCCCTTGTCCTGCACATGGTCAGCTGCGTTCAATCCCCAGCCCCCCATCTGATCCCCTGAGCCCCCCGGGAGTAAGCCCTGAGAACACCCCCTGGTTTTTGGTGTGGCCCAAAAAATAAAGTAAAAGTAAAGGCCCTCCCGTTGATCATCGATTTGCTCGAGCGGGCCCAGTAACGTCTCCATTGGAGACTTTGTTGTTAACTGTGTCTGGCATATCCAATACTCTCGGTAGCTTGCCGGGCTCTCCGAGAGGGGCGGAGGAATCGAACTCGGGTCGGCCATGTTGGCTGCGTGCAAGGCAGATGCCCTATCTGCTGTGCTATCACTCCAGCCCCCCAAAAAATAAATGTTTTAATTTAAAAAATTGTTCAAAAGTCTGTTAAAGAACCCCCAGAAAGCATAGCTATGTAGGGGCTGTAGCGATAGCACGGCGGGGAGGGTGTTTGCCCTTCACGCAGTCAACTCGGGTTCGATTCCCAGCATCCCATATGGTCCCCCGAGCACTGCCAGGAGTAATTCCTGAGTGCCTGAGCCAGGAGTAGCCCCTGTGCATCACCAGGTGTGACCCAGAAAGAAAAAAAAAAGTAGCCATGTAGAATAGAGATAGGGAGAGAGGTGGGAATTATAAAAGAATGGAAGTTCTAGAACTGAATACACTCTAAATTATTCCGTTATAAAGGGGCACTGTTGGTTCTCATGCTGTCCAATCCATGTGAAAGAGGGGCTGGACAGAGGGAGGGAGAGGAAGGGGCAGAGAAGAATATTAAAATATCCCTGGATGATCTCAAAATTGGGTCAGAAAAAGGAGCTCCCAAATCTAAGGAAGTGAATCTTAAAACAGCAGAAAGTTAAAAAAAAAAAAAAAGATTCACAGACACATTGTAGCCAGACTCCCAACACCAAAGACAAAACACAGTGAAAATAGATGGAGGAACACGCCACACATAAAAGCAGGGACACCGGAGGGCAGGGAGGGGGCTGCTTGCCACCGGCAAGCATAAATGCACAGCATTGTGTATCCCAAATTGTTTCTGCGTGCACAGAGAATGTTATCTCCCCAAGATGCTGTGTCCTGCAAAAATACCCTTCCCCCAAAATCATAAAACAGCAGAGCTGTCCCAGGTAACCCTGTTGTCTGGGCCAAATCTCTGGTGCCCCACGCATTCTCGGCCTCTTCCAGCATATAGACAGCCCACTTCACAGCTCCACCACTAATCCGGAAGAGACGCCACACTGCTGGAGCAGACGGCTGCATACGTGGTCACAGGACACCTCCTGATAGCGCGGTACTGACGGCCCAGTAGGAGCGTAGCAAACTAGGTGGGAAAGTTGCATGGACGCACACCAAGCTCCATGAACAAACACAGTGACCCAGAAGGTCGAACCAGCACCCAGCAGCTCAGTGAATCCTCAGTGACTCTAGTAACCCCATCATGAGATAGACGCTGTAGGAGGCAATATAAAGTATTTTGTGTCTACCAAGGGAGAAGACTTGGGGCTGGTGGGAAACTGAGGACAATGGCAGACTGCCTGAAGGCCACACTGGTGGTAGGGTTGTGCTGGAACACTGAACCTGAAACAGATGTGTCATGAACGACTTTTAAGTCATGGTGCTTAATTTAAAAAAAATAAAAGAATAGTTGTTTGAGAGCTTTGTGATAATAAAACATGTTTTCTAATTTTGATTCTTTTGTGGAGCGAAAGCACAGCGGGTAGGGCATTTTGCCTTGCAAGCTGCCAGCCCAGCCGAGCCAGGTTCGATTCCTCCGCCCCTCTCGGAGAGCCCGGCAAGCTACCGAGAGTATCTCGCCCGCACAGCAAAGCCTGGCAAGCTCCCCATGACATATTCAATATGCCAAACACAGTAACAACAAGTCTCACAACGAGGACGTTACTGGGCCCGCTCGAGCAAATCGACGAACAACGGGAGGACAGTGCTACAGCACAGAGCTTGCTGGTTACACAAACCTACATACATATGAATGTGACTATATATTATCACATACATGTACTTATTACTCTATAAAATTTAAACAAGTTCTTTGGGTTGTACCAACTTACATGGGGCTTTTTTTGTTTGTGTTTTTTGTGTGTGTGTGTGTGATTTTTGGTCTTTGGACCACACCCAGTGGTGCTCTGGACTTACTCCTGGCGGTGCTGGGATCAAGCCAGGCGGCTTCATGCAAGGCAAGCACTCTCCCTGCTGCTCTCTCTCTCTCTCTCTCTCTCTCTCTCTCTCTCTCTCTCTCTCAGCAATGCTTAGGGGACAGAGCAGTGCAGGGATCAAACCCAGGAGAATTGGCCACATGCCCCCTGAAGCCACTAGAGGGTCCCCTCTTGCCTCTGCTGGGGGCTCCAGGCGTTCTTGGTGGTTGGCACCTCCACGCCAGTCCCTGCCTTCTCTCTCCTCACAGGCCACGCGACACAGGATTAGAAGCCCACCCCCTTGGCTGCCACGGGCTATTTCCAACTCAGAAAACATTCTCAGATCATTAGGACATGGACCAATCTTGGAGGGGGGGGAACGCATGCAAGTGTTGACAGAGAGGAACGAGCTGTAAGTACTGTCTACGCCTCCACCAGTCCTCCAGGGGCGACTGCGTACACGACTCGGCCGGACAGATCCAGGGCATCCGACAGTGGTCTTGGATCCTCCCAACGGCGGTCAGGGCCGTGCTTTCTCTGGACTCTGCCCGGGGAAACCCTACTCCCACCCAAAGTTCACAGGCTGGAATCACCCTGACAGTGTCTTCCAGTCTGCATTTCATTTCAGTGCCCTATGGAGATGAGTCTGATTGAGCTTGTGCCACGATTAAGACGAGTCTAGTTCTTTTCCAGTCTTCATCAAATATTTATTAAACAAAACCAGAACACAGGCTTCAGGCCTCCTTTTATTTAGGTCACACTTTCTCACATTAAAAAAAAGGGGGGGGATTAAAAATAACTCGACAAATATCCTGTTAGGAATAATGAGTAGTAGTTTTCGCTTCTTTCTGAGGCTAGCCTGACGGGAGAAAAAAAATAATGTGTTGGGTCTATCTCCAGAAATTTAAAAATACATGCATTTATGTTGGAACTAGAAATCTGATGTCGCTGGGCCTGGAAATGCTCCCTGAAAGTTACTAACAGTCCCCTGGAAAGCGTAAGATTCCCGTCCACCCCCATTTAATGGTCTTACAGGCCACCAAGGCCTCCTTATCAAGGGACACTGGCAACTAAGTACCAGAATGGCCTTTCTCTAGAATTTAAGTGGAAGCAGCGCTGCTCCCAATGGCCAGGGAAAAGAGCCCCAAGCACAGAGACAGACTGAAGGCGGCAGCAGAAGCTACAGCGATCTCTTCAAGCAAACCCATTATCCCTGCTCTGGAATAAGGGAATCTTCCAGATTCCCTGGGGCAGCACAACAGCTGGAAATGTTCCTGCATGAACTTCTGGGTTGGGCATCTCAGTCTGTACTGATGAGGGGCCAGAGCAGCATGTTCAGAAGTTTCGAGGCTCCCTGGGTACCTCAAAACACAAACACGTTTTAAGGCAACACACAGAAAAAGAAATAGATTTTTATAATGGTATCAGCCCACGTGACATATGTAGATTATAAGTCTAAATATACACACTCAAATGTCATGAAACAATCTTAGCTTTAGTCATGCCGGCTTACACAGTTTAAATAGAATATTCCTTCCAGAAGGGCAATACGCCCAACCCCTGGGCTTATTCCACACCCCCCCTTACCCCTGCCCTCCCATCCCTTCAATGTGGCATGGCGTGTCACCGGTTAAAAACAAGTTGTGAAAGAGTTAAGTCCTAGAGTAGAAATTAAAAATCCATTTAAAAAAAATCACTAGCACTACCACTAGCACCCCATTGTTCATCGATTTGCTCAAGCGGGCGCCAATAATGTCTCCATTCGTCCCTGTCATGTGCTAGTGTAGACCGATGGCATATTGGGGGCTCTTTCAGGGTCAGAGGAATGAGGACCATCATTGTTACTGTCTTTGGCATATCGAGTATGTCACAGGTAGCTTGCCAGGCTCCGGGACCCAGCCACAGCCATGCTGAGACCACTCTCCACACACTGGGACGAACCTCACGCAGGAAGGAACCGGCAGAGAAACCCGGGTGTGCAGGACCCAGGTCTGAGATCTCCAAGCCTGCTTGGTTGGGGAATGGGCCTCCTCCACCCAGATCCTCCATCTTCGAGTAGCTAGACAGTCACACCCACCAACTGCCGTGTAGCCCCATCAACAGTCAAGACCCAGAGACAATAAAACCAAGCTCCCAGAAGGAGTGGCATTCGCTCCAAGCACCTGCGGCCGTGAGACCTCTGTCTAGTTCTCGCTCCCAGAGAACCCGGCAGGCTACCAAGAGTATCCTGCCCATGAAGGAGGATCCCTTTCTTGCCACATCCGCGCCAACACTGTTTGCTTTTGTTCTTTTGGATGTGAGCCAGTCTCTGTGGTGTGCGATGATATCTCATTGTTGTTTTGATCTGCAGCTCCCTGATGATTAGTGACGTGGAGCATTTTCTCACGTGCCTTTTTGCCATTCGGATCTCTTCTTTGAGAAAGTTTCTGTTCATTTCGTGGCCCGATTTTTTGATGGGCTTGGATGTTTTTTTCTTATGGAGTTCAACCAGTACTTTGTAGATCCTTGATATCAACCGGATGGGGTGGGGGGGATGGGAGGGCTACTGGGATCATTGGTGGTGGAGAATGGGCACTGGTGGAGGGATGGGTACTTCATCATTGTATAACTGAAACCCAAGCACAAAAACTTGCAAGTCTACAACTGTACTTCATGGTGTTTCACTAATAAAAAATAAAATTAAATTTAAAAAAAAAAAGAGTATCCTGCCCGCATATATGCCTGACTGGGAGCACCTGTAAAAAAAAAAAGAAAGAAATAACTTTAAAAATACCTCCCACTCCGGGCAGGTCCCTGTGACCTGGGGCTGCAGACCTCAGCGCCCAGCTCAGAGCTGCAGCCCCAAAGCCGCCTCTCGTCCAACTGGGTGCATTCCGGGACTGTCACCTCGGGCTCGCCCTGCAGACGCCACTTCCGGGGTGGGGGTGGGAGTGGGGCCCTCCCTGCGCGCAGGGGGAGGCAGAGCTGGGTCGCGCACAGGGCAGCCGGGGGCATCCCCGGGCGCCCCACGGACCGGCGGGGGTGGGGTGGGGTTGGGGGTGTCTCCGCGCGCATGCGCGGGGCCCCAGGTCTGGGGGCGCCGGCGCGACTCCGGCGGGAAATGCAGCCCCACCCCCAGCCCGCGGCCCCCGGCGTGGCGAGCCCAGCTCCGCGCGGAGCGAGCCCGGCCCAGACGGTTCCAGAACCTTCGCGGCGTCCGCCGGGCCGGGGAGTAGCGGGGGCAGGCGGGGGCGGGCTCCGAGGGGCGCGCGCGGCCTCCCCCCTCCCACGCGGGGTGACACTTAGTCATCGCCGCCACCCGCCACCCCGGATTTAGGACCGCCGAGACGACCAAGGGGGGGAGGGGGGTTGAAAGAACAACAAAGGCGCGAGGCGACGCGCCCAACCGCCAGCCGAGCGCCAACGGCCACGCGCCTCGCGCCTTTTAAGGGGCGGGCGCGGCCAATCGGCGCCCGCCCCCGGCCAATCGGCGCCCGCCCCCGGCCAATCGGCGCCCGCCTCCGCGCGCCCGCCCCGCCCCCCTCCCCCCCGCCGCCGCCCCCGCGCTATTTTTAGCTCCCGGGCGGCAGCCCCGCCCCGGGCTCCGTGTCCTCGCCGCCGCGGCCAATGGGGGACGGAGTTTCCGGCGCGTCATCGCGCGGGCGGAGGGGCTCTCGTCCAATCAGCTCCCGGGAGCCGCGGGCGTCATTAAAGAGCGGCGGAAAGCCGGGAGGGGGGAGGGGGAGGGGGTGGGTCGTGACGCAGCGACTTTCGGGCGTCACATTTCCGGAGGGGGTGGGGGAGGGGCCGGCGTTTGCCCGCCCCCCGTCGCCCGCCCCCGTCGCCCGCCCCCGCGCCCCCACAGCCCCGCGCCCCCGCGGCCCCCGCGCCCTGCCCTTCCTTTCTTTCCTCTTCTCCCTTCCTTCCTCCCTCCCTTCCTTCTCCCCTTTCAAGTCGGCCGCCGCGCCGCCCCGCGCGCGCCCGGGGCCGGGGCGGGGCCGCGGGCGGTCACGTGGGCGTGTTTGGGGGCGGGGCGGGGCGGGGCGGTTGGGCGCGCGCGAGCGAGGAGCGAGCGCGGAGCCGCGAGGAAGGAGCCGAGCGCCGAGGCAGCCGCGCCCGCCCGCCCCGCCCCTGGATGCCGCGCAGCCCCGGCGCGGCCGCCGCCGATCGCAGCACACGCGCCGCCGCCGCCGCCGCCGCGGTGGAGCAGGGGCGCCGGCCGCCCGGAGGCCGCCGAGATGCCGCAGTCCAAGTCGCGGAAGATCGCCATCCTGGGCTACCGGTCCGTGGGTGAGTGCCTGCGTGCGGCCTGCGGGCGCGGCCATGTGGCGGCCGCGCGTTTCGTAACCCGCCGCCGCCGGCTCCATGTTGGGCGGCGGCGGCGGCGGCGGCGGCGGCGGGGGCGGCCGGGGAGGGGGTCGCCCCGGCGCGCGGGGCCGCCAACAAAGGGCGCGCGGGCGGGCGGGCGCGTCCCGGGGGGCTCCGGCGGCGGGCGCGGGGGTCCCGCGGGGGCTGCGTACTCGTGGCGCCCCCGGCCCGGCCCGGCCTTTGTCTCGTCTCCTCCCCGGGCGCGGGGCTCGCGGCTCCGCCGGGCCGGGCCGGGCCGGGTCGGGCCGAGTCGGGCCGGGCCGCGCGGGCCGCCGCCGGCCGCCGTGACTGACAGCCACTTCCTGTGCGTGCTCGCCGCGCCGAACTTGCCCTTTTTCCCTCCCCCCCAAAATGTGCTCCCGCAGCGACCCGGAGTGCCGTGGCGTTGCTCGGGGGGTTGCGGGGCGGCTCGCCCAGGCCGGCACGTCGGCGCGCGGCGCTGGGGGGCAGGACCCCCGGCCCGGCCCGGCGCGGGGCCCGCCCCTCGCGGCGGGCAGCCCCGAGGACACGTCACCGGGGGCGCCCCGACCCCCCGCTGCGGGGTGGGGGGCGGGCGCGGATCCGAGCCGCGGCGGCGGGAGGCGGGCGGGGGTCCCCGCACGCCGTGGGGACCTGGGACGGGAAACGGACCGGCGGGGCTTGGCTCTCCTCCGCCCCTCCCAGGGTCGCCCGGCCCCCCGCGGTTTGGGTGCGGGGGGTTGGGGGGAGAGGCCCCCTCGGGGGGGGGCCTGCCCCGCAGGGCAAGTGCGTCGTAGAGTTTCTTCCGGATCCAGCGGGGTCCGAGCGTCGCCCCGGCTGCTACTGTGTATCAGTCGCCCCGTCCGTTTCCGAAAGTTGCGATTGGAAGGTTTCAAGGGCGAGGCCCGTTCCCGCGCCGCGGTTGCGCGGAGGCGCTCGCTGGGGGTGGGGGCGGCCCCAGGTGGGGCCCGTTTCTGGTGGAACCGGGAGGAACTTCCCGCCTCCCTGGTCGCTGGTGTTGGGTCCGGGGGGATGGTGGGTTCTCGACTTACTTTTGTGCTTATCATCGTTGTTGTGTCACTAATCTCGGGTGGTGGGGACGCACTTCGTTCGCCTGCGGGTGGCTGCCACGTTCTCAGCATCCCTCTCGGCAGGAGTATTCGCTCCTTCCCGAGTTGCGGTCCCTTCTGGGCAGAATCGAGGGTCCTGAGTGGAGGGTTTGTTTCGGTTCTCTGTTACGCGGGTCCCTGTGTCGGTCCCTGTGTCTGGTCGGGCCGCGCTGTCTTGATGGCTGTCGTTTTTCAGAACAGGGAAATAGGACTCTCTGGCTTTGTTTTTCTTACTCATTTTGGCCAGTCCAAGTCCGTTGCGTTTCCCTGTGAATTTTAGGACTAGCTTATTAATTTATGCCCCCCCCCCCCAGCACTGCGGTGTCGATAGGGTGTTGGGCAGTTTTGAAGGTACCTTTAAGTATCTAACTTAAGGAATCGCGGAAGTCTCTTGTCTCCTGGATTCATCCCATTGCAGTTTGTCCCTTTAGTGGGAGGTATTGAGGAAACCGGCCTGGAGGGGACGCTTAGTTGGGCAAAGTCAGACTGGTTCCCGCGGATTCCCCGGTTGTAGGTCGTCTGCGTCCCATTGCTGGCAGTTTCTTAGCTATTCCTGGTCGTGTGCAGCCTCTAAGGTGTTGGTGACTTGTTTCCCATCTGTTCACTGAACTTCATTGATTTTCCAGCTTCACTGCATCTACCTGTGCCTGCTTTTATGTCATCCGCCAGTTGCGTGGAAAGTGTTGACTCACTGTTCTGGGGAACCTTCCACATTCGACACTTCACAATATTTGCATTTTTGAGTCACTTTCTCTTTTAATACCACCACTAATCTCAGAAAAATCCAGAAGGTAGCTGCTGAGCACACTCTGAATGCAGGTTTTCTAAGATTCAAATTTTCTCTCTGACTTTTGAGTCTGAGCCTTGACGAAGTGCTACCACTTCTGCCTGGAGGAACAGTCTCGTTCCTTTCATCTCCAAGAGGACGCTGCCAAGTGCCCACATTGGAAATAATGGTCGTTCGTCCATCATTTCGAAGTGGAGTGGATGCCCCGGTGAGCTCCTGCCGAGGTGCTCGCTTCCACCACTTCCCAGACAATTCCACCTGCCCTCGCCTTGGAGATGAGCCCAGGCTGATGCGGCGCTGGGCTGTCCCCTTGCAGCGTGCTCGCTAGGCAAGTGTACTTGTGGGTCGAGAGGGAACGCAGAGAATCACTTCTGCTTTCTCAAGGACCCCGCTGAGTGCCAGGGGCTGCCTGCCCCCCCTCCGTGAGTTCATGGTGCTGAGGACACCGGCTCCCCGGGGCTTTGAAATTGGCCCCGACCAGGCTGGCAGTGGGAAGCACCACAGCTTTGGCAGCGTGAATACAAACTTGGACTTGGTGGAAGGGCAGTTAGAGCCACACTGTCGGTGGGAACTGGTTTGGACCTCAAGAGCCCCCCGCGCTCCCTGCAGCCCACTGACACCCCAGGGACGCGGACGCAGACTCTAGGCTGTGGCACACACGTAGAATCAGTGTGGTGCCTCCTGGGGGTGCTGGCTGCCACGCAGCACGTGGAATGAGCTCAGGGAATGTTCTGCTTGGAGAGCACGAGGTGCCCACGCCTCTCCGCTTGCCCTGTGGGGTGAGCTGACCTGTCCGATGACCTGGGGCCAGTGAGGCTCCCATAGGGAAATAATCGTCGAAGATGGCAGGGTTGTCCCACACAGGAATGGGGTGCAGCGGAGCGCATGTGGTCACACCACACGTGAACCCACACACACACTTCCTCCGAGGCAAGGCCTCTGCACGGGTTTGATTGATGCTGATAGTGGCGGGACTCAACAGCATTGCCGGCCAGGTGCTGATTGCTGGGCCAACCCACACACCAGGTTAGCTCTCTAGTGTCTCAGCAGCCAGAGAAGCTGTTGAAGAAACAAGACGGGCAGCTTAGGTAGAAGCATCTCTGGTCTGGTTGCTTTGTGTTGTTGTTTTTTGTGTTTTTTTTTTTAATCTAAACCAAAGCATGTTGGGGCTGGAGAGATAGCACAGCGGGTAGGGCGTTGGCCTTGCACGCAGCCGACCCGGGTTCGATTCCCAGCGTCCCCTATGGTCCCCTGAGCACCGCCAGGAGTAACTCCTGAGTGCAGAGCCAGGAGTAAGCGCTGTGTATCGCCGGGTGTGACCCAAAAAAGCAAAAATATAAGTAAATTAAATAAATAAACCAAAGCATGTTTGAATTTTTTTTTCCTAAGAAAATAGATGGGAGGGGCGGGTGTGTTTGGCTTATAGGCATCTCCAGCTTCCATCCCTGGCACTGCTTGGCCAGTATCCTTGGAAGTGGTCCCTGGGCCCCTGTACACTACACTGGGGAGGCCTCCCCGCCTATTTTTCCAGTAGAGGGTCTCAGTTCTTTCTCCGGTTTGCTCAGTGACTGAGTAAAAGCATAAAGGGCAAAGGTCCACCGCAGTGGCTATGGGGAACCTCCAGGGGTCCCAAGGTCGCTGGGGGCTGAGGAGGCAGGATCTCGGCAGTTCAGGCTGTGTCTGCATGGAGGGGCCTGGCGAGGCATTTCCAGTCGACTTCTCGCTGCGCCTTGGCTCAGCCCCTCTGGGAACCAGGGAGAGCGTGCTCGGTCCCGAGCACCACGGCCTGAACGGGTACAGGTTGGGGACCCAGGCTTGGGCTTCGACCAGCCGTCAGAGCATTGCTGTTCCCCCGAGGAGGAATTGCTCGAATCACTGCCCTCTTGCAGGGATGACTTGTCCCCTGTGATTCGGGTGTCAGTCACATCGCTGAATCATCCAGGCCCCTGCGAGGTGCCAGGCTCCACGTCCGGTCGAGGGGCTGGAGCAGCAGGTGCCAGCGTGCCTGAAATGCCCTCGTGGGCTCTGTCGGTGCTGGGATTTGCAGAGAATGGGTGGGGCCACAGGAAGGAGAGTGGGGCAGCCCCTCACTGGGCGGGGAGGCGGGCGAAGGGCACGGGCCAGTGGGGACTGCTAGGCCCGGGCACATCAGAGGCTTAGCCTCCAGTAGGCTCTCCGCCACAGACATGAGGCGCTTCTCTCGCTGGGTTGGCATCCCGGGCCCTGGGGACGGGGCGCTGCTCCTTGCTTCCCCCTGAGCAGCTCGAGCGGGTGGGCGGGTCCTCCAGGATCCTTGGCCAGTCTGCCAGATCGAGGTTCCGACCTGTCCCTGAACTCCGGCTGTCCTCTGGGGGGTGGCGTGGGAGTGGGGAGCTGGTTTCTTGACGGGGCGTGAAGAGGGAAGATTGGGGGTGTGGCTGGACAGCGAGACAAGATGTCGGGGAGCCCCGGAGCAAGAATGTCAGAGGGATCCAGTGGGGTGCCAGGAGGCTAGAGCCAGGGGTCTGACCCGAGTGCCCTTGGCCCCCTCATGCTGCAGCGTGTCTGGAGACGCGCGCGCGCGCACACACACGTGCCTTGTCCCCCAGCGTGCAGGGACCGGAGCCTAGAGCGCAGAGCACAGCACAACAGAGCTCGCGTTGTTGGTGCCAGGCCTGTGTGGGAGCCTTTCCGGCCCCGCGGGCGGGCGGCAGCTCCCTCGCCGCTCGGATGTTCCCACCCCCTGGCCGGGGCCTCGCTGCGACGCTCAGTTCTCTGTCGCCTCTCATTTTCCTCATTTTTGGCATTCACTCCGTTTTTACCAGTCCTGAACTGTGCGCTCTTTGTTCAAGATCGTGTCGTAATCTGAGAGTTTATCTTTCGCTCGCCTCTGTAGCTCTCGCCCCCCTCGGTCCCCCCACTTGGGCCACAAACGGAGGAAGAGCCGAGCTTCACTGTTGCCAGAGGCTGTGCTTCCTGCGTCACCAGCCCGACTGGTCTGAGTCACCCTATCGAGTGCAGTATCCTAGTTTGAAATCTTCTGGGAGGCTGTTCGGGCCTTCCTCGGCAGCTGCTCTTTCCCTTTTCGTGCAGTGAGTCTGCTCGCAGAGGCCCCGCTTCTAGAGCTTGAGTCTCGCGTTAGACTGAGAGTTTCCTAAACGCTGCTCGTCACTTGTGCCCCCGTCTGTCACGGCGTGTCTGGCGCGGGCTGTGCCCAGTGGAGGGTATTTGAATGGCACAGAGGCTCGGAGCCCGCTGTACACTTGCGTTCTCGGCCTGCTCTTTGCCACAGCAGTGGTGGCACCTTTGGCTTCTGCCAGCGTTTGAAAAACTGGGGTGGGGTGTAAGAAGAATAGGATGAGGTCATAGCCTGCTTCTCTGGCAGAACAGAGCGCGAATTGGAGGAGGGTGGGGGAGCGCGGCGCCGCGCGGCTCGGCTCATTGCGGTTCTGGGGAGCAGGCGCTCCGTGGCGGTCTGTGGCGGAGAGGTGGGAGCAGGTGCTGGAGCTGGGGGGGAGCGTGCTCCAGGCCCCTCCACAGCTCCTCTCACGCACCCCTTGGTAAACTCGGAAGGTTTCCAGGGGTTTCCTTGGCGACCTGATACCCACCCCTCATTGCTCTGGCCCTCGGGATTCCCCAGGAATAGCTCAGTGGCAAAACTGCCCAAGTCACAGCCCAAGGCCGAGAGTTGGGCGGCCGGCGCTGCCTCGGGGCTCCCAGTGCGGGGACATGTGGCCTCCAGTCATTGCAGCAGCCTAGAGGAACCTGTGAAACGGAGGTCCAGCCTCCTTGGACCCCAGCAGGCTGCTATCCTAGGCTCCTGGGCAGGTCACGTGGTAGTTGATAACAGGCGGTTATGGTGACGTGCGACCTTATATTTATTGGCAGGTTTATCTAATGTTTTGAAGTTTCAGTGGAACTGGCTGTACAATGTATCTTTTTCTTGGATTTCGGATGGATGAGAAGGGTTAGAATGCCCATTTTCTGTTCATCTGCCCGTTCCCTGAGTTTTTTGACCTCAGGTGGTTCTAATGGTGCGAGGCCCCCTTGAGGCCAGCCTTCAGCCACAGTTGTGGACCTGCTTTGTTCCTCCCTTTGGCTCTTCCCCAGTGTGATGGGCGTGTGTTTGTTGGTTGTGCTCGGGGTGCCCTTGTGGCTGGGGGGCGGAGCCTGAGGCTCGCCCACAGGAGGCTTGGCTGCTACTGTGTACTTTCAGGCTGGGAACTGCTCAGACACTGTGTCCAGTTCACTCCTAATCGCGCTCCCTCTGCTTGGGAGAAAGGAGTCAATGTCATCCCCCACCTTTTTGTTTTTCTTTTTGAAAAATCCATTGTGGAAGGTCGAGTTTACACGCGGTGAGCAGCCATGAAAGCAGCCATGCCCGGTGTACAGTGCAACTCACAGAACCTGCCGTTGACTGTTCAAAAGGCCGGCCATTTCCATCACCTCCAGGGTCCCTCTGGGTTTTTCCTGAATGCACGGTGAGGGCTTTTGGGATCGTTTCTGAGGTCCATACGTGTTGCTGCTTGCCACCGGAATCCCTTGCGGCCTGCACATCACGGTGTCCACTGTTGGGTCTCTGAGGATAGAGCCCACCAGCCCTTTGTCTGTCTTTGTTCTGGTCGTTTCTGCTCAGGGAACGTCCTGGAATGGGGCTGCCGGGCCACACTGTCCCATGTGCATTCAGAAAGGTGCCCGCGGTCTTGGTGCCTGTGCCGTGAGGCTTGCGCCCTCACGGGGCTGAGTCCCAGCTCCTCCAACCCTGGGGCGTCGCACGTCACTAGCCTTTTGCTCTGTTGACCTGATGAGTCTCGTTGGTGTGTTTTTCCTGGTGGAGA